ACTAGCCCGATGTTCAATAGTGAAGTCAAAAGGTATAAGGAAGGTTGCCTATCTTGCCTGCCTTCCGACGAGCTGCTTTATCTTTATAAAGCCCTTAAGATTAGCGTAGTCGACAACTACGCGGGTCGTATACTAGGCGCCGTCGAGGTACGGGCGCTAATGCTTAAAGGACTCGACAACCGCTAGGAGCTCCTAGTTATAGGTCTTATAATTGGTCTCGGCTAGGACCATTTTTCGTAACTAGAAGGCAATAGGATACCAATTCCTATCTTCGCTCTGTTATAATATAATTCCTGCTAAAGCGAACGTAGAGGTATCGGTTTCGATACGTAGGGGCTTCGCAGGATTATAGTGTCGCAACATCGAGGCCGAACTAAAGGCAGCCTTTAGCTAGTAGAACGCTTGCTCCTCGCTTTCGCCCTACGGGACCTGCCCTAGCTTTCGGCTATTTACGGCTCCTTTCGATAGGGCGGTTAGTAGTATAACGATCCGGGAGTAATTAGGGATAAACCTCCGATAGAAGTTGTAGAATCCGAGGAAGGATTGAACCTCCTTTAGCGTTAATAGGCGAGGCTACTCGTTGATAGCGTTTACCCTACGCTAATCTATCGACACGCCTTCGGTACTAACGATAAACCTAAGGAATTCGACTTCTTTCTTCTAGAAGGAATATTTCTTTCTGTTTGTATACAATGTAAACTTTCTAAGCCGCGTAAGGATAGCGCGTACGTCTCGTACGTAGTCCTCTCGCGTTTTGCTATAGACGAGAATATCGTTAAGGTAGACGATATAGCAAATATTAACTAGGCTAGCTAACGCCCTATTAATGTATCCTTGAAACGTAGTAGGAGCATTAGTAAGCCTAAAAGGCATTACCTTATACTCGAAGTGCCCGTACCGCGTACGGAACGTAGTCTTCTACTCGTCGCCTCGCTTAATACGGATACGGTAATATATATCCTAAAGGTCTAAGGACGTATACTATTCGGCGTCCTTGAGCCTATTAAGCGTTTCGCTAATAAGGGGCAGGGGGTAACGATTTTTAATAGTAATCTCGTTTAGCCCCCTATAATCGACGTAGAGTCTTAGACTGCTATCCTTCTTTAGTACGAACAGGATCGGCGTACCCGCCTCGCTTATACTAAGCTAGATCCAATCGTTGTCTAAGGCTAAGCTTAGGTAATTACGAAGGTCGCTAAGCTCTCTTCCTAAAGAATAGTAGAGAGGTTTGTATAGCGGCTTCGTTCCGGGGATTAGGTTAATCGTATACTCTATATCTTCGGGGAGCTTGCGTCTCGCTTCGGGCGTTATTGTAAAGACATCTTCGAAGTCTTTGAATTCTTCTAGCAAGGAGGAACCCTTAGCGATGTCGCGGAGCTAGCGAACGCTAATCGCGTACACGTATAGAGCGTTACGTATATCCTTCTAGAATTCCTATAGTTCCCGTACGCGTATCGAACGCGCTACGGCTTCGTTCCTATAGGTCTAGGCATCTGTCGAGCTATCGACGATTACCTTTTAATCGCGCCTCTAAGGCCTACTAAGAATAATATTAGGGAGGGGCATCTCGAAAGCGTAGAACACTCCGGTAGTAATGCGTTCTTAGCCTATAGAGTCGGCGATCCGCAAGCGTAGATAATGCGCTCCGTAGTAGTATCCTCGGTCGCCCTAGAAACTGTCGGCACTAGGTAGCACGGCGTTAACAATCCGCTAAGGCTAGTGTCGTAGAACGAATTCTTAAGATACCACATTGATGTTAGCAGTATTATCTAATAAGCATTCGACGGACACTTCCCCTTCTTACGTAACGATTGCTCCGCGTACGCGTCCCGTAGGTACTACTACTACTAAGCTACTTAGTTAAGATTCCGTACCTATCCCTAGCTCTTAGGAGGTGCCTTATCTTTTCCCTTAGCCTTCGAGTCGTTCTTCTTCTCTTTAGCGTTAGCGGCTACCTTGCGTACCGTAAGGTTGTCGTCTTTCTAGAGATAGCGGTTCGGGTACGCGTTCTTATAATAGCCTTTCTAGCGATAGCTATAATATTCGACCTTACTAATATCGTACCCGCCTTACGAGTTATCGTTCTTCGAATGCTTCCCGCCTGCGCCGCGGTCGCGATTTAACTGCTGCTTACGGGCCTAACTATTAGATCGACGCTTCTTGCCTTTACTGCCTCCGGTTTTATCGTAGTTACGATCCTTGCGTTTGCTAGACGGCTTATTAGGGGTCTCGATACGCGTCGTAAGCTCTACGAGTTCGTAACGCGTCGTTAGCACCGTATAGTATTTAATAATCGCGCTGCGAATCGCCGGCTAGAGTTTAACGAGGAGATAGCGGATCCTATACTCTTCGCTATAGTCGCTAAGTTAATCTTCGAGTACTACGAGCTTAAGGGTAAAGCTTTAGACTAACTGTCCCTTACGCTAACGGGCCGCCTTATACTCGAGGGTTACGTCTAGTATACGGTTTATAGGGTCCCCGACGCAGTCCCGATAGAAGGTTTTAAAGTCCTAGTAGGTGTAATTCTATAGGTCCTTAAGGCTATTTTCATTATGCTATCGCTCCTACGCATCGCCTGCGAGGTATATAATACTATAAAGCACCTTGCTTTCGTCCGTATAATAGGTAGCTCCGGATAGTACAAAGGTAATAGAAAGTTCTCTAAGGAATCGCCTCGACTCCTTAATCGTATCGCCTTTAAAGGGCTTAGGTTCCTTTAGGCGAGGCTTGATAGCCGTAAGACTAGCGACTACGTAGCTTATACTAGGCATAGTAGCTACGCTTAGCGCACTTCCGGAAAGAGGTAGTCGATACGAGACAGATTCAGCTCTCTAAGATTTAGGCCTCTAAATCGACTCGTTAGCTAATTCTTCCTCGTCCTCGTCCTCGTCGTCGCCTAGGGGTAGGGTCCTCGTAGGACCCTCGCTAGCGGTACCGCTGCTCGGAGCTAGCGCATCGCCTGCGTCCCTAAGGGTATAAAGACGCGTATTCTCTCGCTTAGCTTCTTAAGCCTAGACTTCTAGCCTAAGTACTTCTTGCTTAGCTAGAAATCGTTCGAGCTATAGGCGGGTCGCTTCTCGGCGCGCCTAATGTTCGGCTTCGTTTTATTGTGTCGCCGCGTCGTTTTCTAATGCTGTAGGCGCTCCTAATGCATTATTCTACGCGTTTCCCGCGCCCGGCGCGTTCGGATCGCTTACGTTTATCTTTCGGGGTTCTATAGGCCGCTACGAAGGGTAGACGGTTTAGAACTATAAGAAAATAGGTATATAGCAACGTATAGAACACCCTCTACTAATCGCCGTAGTAGAAAGTAGAACTAAACCGTGCCTTTCTCAGAATAGGGCAAAGCGACTACTATTAACTAGGCCTAGCACAGATAGCATATCTGCCGTACTAGCTACCGAGTATATCCGTACGAGTGATCGAGCATTACGCGTATACGCTAAGCAAGCTTATCGCTAGCGCGGCTGCATCGTACTATACGTAATAACATTATATAATTGTTACATAGGCTTGCTAAGGCAGGACAGGAGACTTCACTTGCTTAGGTTCTTATAGCGGGCTTAGCAGTAGGCCCTTTAGTAGGAGGTACTTTAGTAGGAGGCACTCTAGTAGGAGCCTTAGTAGGCACTTCGGTAGGCACTGTGCTACTAGCGTTGTTATTGCTAGCGCTGCTAGCGGTAGCACGGTTGTTGTTTCGTAATAAACTGGCTATTATAAGGGACGATACTAATAATGTATTATTAGCCCCTAAGATACGGATATAGCGGAATTAGTAGATATCGGCTTAGTATGCTTAACTTAGTATAATAGGCCGTATAGAAGGCCTTGCTTAATAATTAGTACGGTTGTTTCGATAGAATAGTACGTATAGGTCCCGTTCTTCAGGCGCAATATAGTTAAATCGATAGTTTTCGTAGCTATACCGCTAAAAGCTTAAAATAAGGACTATCTAGCTACTACCCTTAAAGGGTAGATCGAATACTATATAAGAAGGGTTATATTAGCAGGTAGATAGGGTATAGGTAAATTAGTATAGTATTCGATAGAGATCTAAAAGGAGAGGGAGGAAGGCAGGCAAGTTAGCCTAACGCTAAGCGCTAAGCCCTGCCTAAGGCACCGAGACCCCGGCTTTACTCGGCCTAACTACATACTAATTACGTATAGCCTCTTTAGCCCTAACAATAACGAGAAGCGCTCGGCATAGTATAGGTGCTTTACATCGCGCGCTAGTATACCTATTAGAGCCTATCTACGCCTTCGATAGGCTACTCGGTCGCTTATATAACTCTCGTCTATATAGATAAATATATCTATACTAAATCGCTATATTTAGGCCTCGAATATAGCTCTTACGACTAGATCTCGTTACTTAGTAGTACGCGCCTACAATTTGTAAGTAAACTACTCGCTTACTAATAACCGCTAGATAGTACTATAACTAATCTATTCTAAGTACTTATTTAGTAGGTAATACTATATTTCCTTATACTATAACGACGGCTGTTCTAGCATTATTACTATTACTAAATCGCGTATAGTTAGCGTAATTATACGTAGTCGACTACCCTTCTTTAGTATAATAGTATCTAACTTCTTCTATCTTTTTATTTATATATAAATCGCTATACGAGACCCTCGGCTATCTAATAGCAAGAGCTTAGATACCTCCTCGAAGGACTAGCTATCGTCGAGGCAGTATTAAATTAGGTTGTTATTGTATATAGTAAGGGTAGGTATAGCGTATTTAGTCGGTTAATAAGAGCGAGATAATAGACAATAACAATACCTTAGTTATAGCTATACTACTAAAATTTGGCTATTTTCGACGATATAGAGGTATGGTTTGGTTGAAGAAATACTATAGACAGCATTGTCTAGAATTGCTAACAATGGTGGTGTGGACCCCGACCCCCGGATCCCGACCCTTTTGCATGTCAGAATATAAACCTTCACTCTTATCTGCTAGGCCGATCGAGCATCAGTCTGCCATCAGACATTCAAGTTGGGGTATCGTACATCGTACCCAGCAGAATTTGCAATCCAAGGTTAAGAAGGCGAGGCTTGCCTTTCTCAATGCTCAGCTCATCACGAGCCTCTCCGTCTTGCTCTAGGATCGCACATTGACATCGCTCACTGCTGTCATCATCTCCATCCGACGAGCGAGCGTCGCCTGAGCTGATGGTCAGCACGTCCGAGTCATGTACACCGTCGCAAGCAAGTGTTGGCATATTCGGTAGCTTTCGTAGGAGATAGCTCCTGACACTATGCTCAAATACATCTTCCCAGACTGTACCTCTTGATAGAATGGGCAAGATGTGTCCAAATGGCGATTCATCCCATAGACACCCCAAATAGACATGCCGTAGCTGCAAAACTTTCAGAATCTCTTCGACGGCCTGGTGAATGCCATGGATGCGCATATCACGAAGCTCCAACTCCTTCAGAGCCAGTGAATAATTCTTCGAGAATTTGAGCAGCATCTTTCCAAAGCAACACGCTCCTGGTGTACCCGAATACGCCCATGTAGAAGTCCTCGAAGACGAGTGGAGTGCTTGCTGCCTCAAATCGGCTCTCGACCAGGGGCAGAGTCTTGGTGGATTCGTGGTCACATCTGTCGATATATACATAACAGTGAGGAGCTCTTCAGGCAGCCTGTTCATGCCAAGATAGTTATGATTGCGTTTTGCTCCAGCCCCGCCAACTTCCACATCACTTCCAAGCTTACTATGCCATGCCATTGATTATGCTTCTTGCATCTATCTTCGTTCACTTTTAGTCTATGTCTTCCCACTATCAGCATCAGAGTTTAGGTGGAAGCGCCTTCAACCACGGTCCTTCCAGCAATGCCGAACAGGAATACGATCGTCTACGCGACCTAGCGCGCAAAGAGCAAGCACAGCATCAGCATTATGCCGCCGAGGCCAGACAAGCGTACGAACGTGGAGACGGAGCTGGCGCGCACGAAGCCAGCCAAAAGAGCAAGCAGCATGCTGCCAAAGCCGACGAATACAACAAGCAGGCCTCGGAATTCATCTTTCGCGAGAATAATGCAGTAGGCAAGGTGGACGGCGACACTATTGACCTCCACGGTCAATTCGTAGAAGAGGCCGAAGAAATACTCGAGCAGAGAATCAGATATGCGCAACAGACGGGCCAGGCTCACTTGCACGTTATTGTCGGCAAGGGAAATCACAGTCCTGGTCACATCCAGAAGATCAAGCCGCGTGTTGAGCAGGTCTGTCGCGAGTTGAATCTAGAGTATCACACGGAGCCCAACGCTGGACGCATCTACATCGATCTCAAGGGCGGCCAGCAGAGGCCAGACTACGACTACGCGCATCAACCTCAACATCAAAACTATGGCCAACCACACTACGAGACTGCATACCCTATGGGTACCACTCCTCAGTATGGCTACCAGCAGCAAATGAATTACTCCAATGCTGTCCAAGGGGGATATCCAGGCGCTCCACAACAGCAGATGCACGTCCAGGAGTCGGAGCAAGCCAATGATATCAAGTGTTGCGGGATCAAGATATGCGTGGTCATGTAATGCAGTTGTCGCGATTGGTAGGACTGGTCAAATGTTTTGGAAAGAGAATTGGATCCTCCTCGTACGTCTTTTCCGCTCAGGCAACGATCGCCTTCGAGCGTAATTGTGCCTGCGTCAACCACCTGATTTGGCAGCTCACATAAATCTTGGACGACGCGGCGAGTCTCACATCTCAACAGAAAACACGCGAATTGGGAGAAGCTATCTAGCTGTTCTAGGATCACATTTGGATTGTCCATCTAGGATGAAAAGCCAGCGCGGAGGGTACGAAGCAAGGCACTAAACGCTGGCCAAACGATCAGGACCATAAATAATGGGCCTCAGAATGGAAAAAAATTTAAGCGGCCGAGCATCATAGCTAATCGAGGATCATGTATGCTCCGCATGAGCTGGCATCTTGTGGCCATCAATGTTCACGAGCCCCTTTTTTCAACCAGTGCGCCTTCTGACTTCTGCCAAGTGAGGCCTCAGCTACCCAAGTCAAGTGGACTGATGCAACACCTCATGACTAATCCGCATTCATAGGAGAAAGGCGCAGGACACTAAGCCTAGAGGCAGCTCCTCGGTCGCACCGCCACGTTTTACCGTGCGCGCCGACCATACGTTGGAGGCCCTACGCCGAAAGAGGCAATAAGCTTCCATTCGGAGATGTGTTCACACCAGTGACACCACGGAGGAAGGCATCGGCCACGCGTCTTAACTACCTTACTACTTAATGCTCCTCGGAGTTCTGCTCTTTACTCACGTCGATTTCCGCAGCATTTCTTAGGCCCGTAACTTTGAGATCAGAAAAAAGCACATTTTTTCGCAACCATGTCTTACCAGCAGGGCTACGATCAAAATTACCAGCAGCAGCAGCAGCAGTATCAACAACCTCAGTACGGTCAACCTCGTATGCAGCATTGGTATTTCCTCCCGGCCGAGCGAACACGTTTAATTGACACATGATAGCTCCAGCACCTCAATATGGCCAGCAACCATATCCTCCTCCACCACCTTTCCCAAATGGAGCTCCACCAGCACAGCAATACCCTCCACCACCACCAAATAGTGCTCCATCAGGACAATCCGACCACGGCTCATTCAACGGAGGCAACTACTCGATCCAGCACCGCGACACAAACGCAGTACTCAACATCGAGCTGCAACAAGGCGGAAGCGTACGCTCCCGAACCGGCGCCATGATCCACATGGCCTCAACGGTGCAACTGTCCGGAAAAACAAAATTCAGCATGAAAAAACTCTTCACGGGCGGAGAGATGAGCGAATCGACGTACGTCGGCCACGGTCGCGTCGCTCTGGCCCCGATGTTGTTTGGTGATATCATCACCGTGCACGTCGACTCCAGCAAGAACTGGACGATTGGGAAGGATGTATTCCTGGCGTGCACGCCGGACGTGACGAAAGAGTCGAAATCGCAGGGGATTGGGAAAGCGATGTTTTCTGGGGAGGATTTGTTCGTGTATCGCATTGGAGGGCAGGGATTGCTGTGGTTGACGAGTTTTGGGGCTGTGGATCGTCTTGATGTGAGAGATTTACCTTGAGTCTTGTTCCGTTCCTTTCTTTTCTGCTGATCCTGCTGACGAATGCAATGCGTAGCTACAATCTGGTGAACAGCATATTGTCGATAACGGGCATTTGGTCGCGTGGAGCTGTGACTATAAGATTGAGAAGGCTGGTGGAGGAGCCATGTCGTCGATGAAGACTGGAGAAGGCTTAGTCTGCCGATTTACAGGTCCAGGAGTAATCTACATCCAGGTAAGAGACCTAGTAGTCGTGTTGACAACCTCCATCTCCGAGGATTGGTGCTGACCGTCTTTCCTCGCTCCAGACCAGAAACATGGACGAGTTCGAAGAGTACATTCAAAGCTTCTCGCAGGCCTAGTTCGACCATCATTTCTTGAGTCCTTGAACTCGTTGTCAGATATTGAACATCGATTTGAGTATCCACAATCACTCCATTGAAGGCTTGGGCACGTGTCTAGAAACTAGACAAGAGAATGTCTCACCGTTCACGACACTGCCCAAGCATTTCCAGCGCAAAGCCGTCCCTTCCTTCGTGTACCGTAACTCGCTCCGCAGCCTTGACCAGGTCGTAAACCACACTCTCTGGCACAGCACTGTCTTTCTTGTATTCTGGATGCTCCCTTACGAAATGCCGTATCCATTTAGCGGCAGTCCACAATTTGCCACTTGCCCTTCCGCGAATCAGCGCCAGATATTTGGCAAGCTCGCACCTCGTTTCAACATCGACATTGATGCTATCGAGGTACGATTCCACCAGAGGGATCAGACCAGGGAACCCGCCATCCCGTTGTCCATTGATGATCTCGTCTACTGTCATGAGTTCATATTCGTCCTCAACGGGTCCAGGGCTTTGCGGCCGGCTTGGCTGCGGTGTATTTGGCTCCGATGGAGTGGTGACATTTGTTCTAGAATGCCGTCGAGGAAGAGGATCTTTCCGGAAATAAAATTTTTCGTTGAGTACTGCGTCCCGGTTGTGGGCGGTCTCCATATTCTGAGTTGTTCGCGGTATCGGCAAGTAGAAGTTCAGATCGAAACTCAGCATGGCTCGCGTGATCAGAACGACAAAGACCGAAAAGGCTGCGTTCTCAAAATCGGTGATTTGTATCTCCATCGGCCGCACCTCAACTCGCCAGCCAATGTCACTTCCCGGTGGTGGTGGTTTGAATCGCATATGCTGCCAATTCGTGCTTTGGAGGTTCTCAAAGTGATCAGCTTTGTCAAGATCCAACTCCTTGAGGTCCTCGGAGAAAACGACGATCGGGTCGCGAATGAACAGATGCGCAAAATGAGTTGCGAGCAGATCGTCCATACCACCCTCAGTCAGACGCGCTTTGAGCTGCTCATCAACGACAAGGTCCGGGTCTAGGTACTCTGGCCGGAGACGAGGATCCTGTGCAATGTATGTGCTGTTACTGGCATAGCGTGATTTTGGTATCCGCCAACGATCGTTCTTCAGCGGTTTCTCGCCCAATTCTTCCGGAGTACGATCGTCGACGGCACGACTGATTTGATTCCATCTCACATCGCTATCAACCAAGAAACCTTTGTATAGCGGCGTTGCAGCAGTGAGTGCCAGCAAGATCGGCCCAAGCGGTGATAATTGGTCGTACATTGTCCGTCCTTCAGAAATGCTTTTTGCCTGGAAAGTAATTTGCAGGCAGCAAGAGCCCATACCAAATGCCATCGCATCCATGTAGACACAATCAGTCTTGGCGGCTCCATTTCGAACGTCGTCATCCTCTGGCCAATTATGTAGGTCATAGTCCACTGTCGGATCTTTGAAAGGCCGTGGTGTGTTCTCATCGACAAAGACCGGCACATTCAACTCCACCTTCCTGCCGCGCCTCCATCGGATGTTGGCAGCCAAAGTAGGGAATCGTATGTGAGGATTTGCGATCTCGTCTGGCACAAATTGTGATCGAAGCTTTGGCCCAGACGGTGGATAGTATGGCGTTATTGATTTTCTGTCGCCAAGGAGTGGGAAAGTTGTTAGGGTGATTGGATACTCGTGGCTGTAGATGTGGTCTTTCGCAATCTTTCGTCTTGAAATGCGTCAGTGAAATGTTTCACCATATCGCAGACCACACTTACCTCCACTTCATGTCTGTCTCGACATCTAGTAGGTCTTTGAAATTAATGCTCCAGGGTTTCCCGGGCGTTGCCTCGAGCATGAATCGTCCGAACTCAGGATGAAATGTCGGTGCTGGCCATGCGGTCCTGACCCGGGTCAGAAAAGTCCAGGCATTCATTGCAAGACAATGTCCAACTTACTTCACCTCGCGCTTGGCCAGGTCGGGCACACCGCCACCTTGTCTGAGCAACTCTTCATCATTTGCGAGGGCCTCGAGGATATCGGCCTGGCGCAAGGAAAGCTTGACCTTCCTCTGCTCGTCGTCGAAGGAGACGACGAGATACTCGATCTGGCGGAACTCAGCGAGGTCAACGTCAGCAGTCTGAAAGTGCTTACCATACCTCGTCTCCCCACAGCAATGCATCTCGCTCCTTGCCTTTGGCTCGGTTCCAGATTGCCAGTAGTTGCTGTTGGACGTTTAGAATACCTGCCAGGACCAGAAAGAACGTGAGCCTCACCTCGATGCCCCACTGGCGTACATGACCTGCGACCTTCTTGGCCTCAGGCCAATCGAGTGGTGTACCTACTGCACTGTAAACCGATCAGCAGTTGAGTCTGCCGAGTCGCGGAAGCACGATTGCCTACAGGAGACCCATCCCGCACAGGCTTTGCAACAGCCGCTCTGGGATAGCGCTTCAAGTTGTGCTACTGCAGGAGCAATCGCATGTATGCAGACTTTAAGCTGCAGATGTCGTAAAGCTGGGCGCCTGCTCTTCCCTGCCAGCCGTGCTTATAGTCTCGCGCGGCCTTCCGTGCGTATGCCACTGCCTATCACGACATTGCCTCAATCCATCCAAATTTTACGTCTCGAGGTGGGGGGCTTCAAGTCTTCGCCGGCGATGTGTCGAGGTCGCTCGTGCTGCTGTTGTGGTGCTCCAGGTCGGCGGCGTGATTCGGGCCCTCGACAGTGACGCTATGCATGTGATAATCGTAGGTCAAAGAATGGGCTACAGCGATCACTGGTTGCCCTCGAGCCGTCACTGGGCAGTAGAACTAGAAGAGCAATGACCAAGCAAGCTTTCGGCGAGTTTCCGCCCAGCTTGACCTCACTTCTTCACTTCACCCACGCTTATACGGCGTGACTCGCGGGGTTTGTTTCGTTGGGGTGTGCGCAGTCACACAACGGGCTTCTGCTCAACAACAGCCAGCAGTCATCATCAAAGTGATCAATCGTGGTGGTGGCACGCAAGAAAGCGCTGCATGAGAATATTCAGTGGCACCTTCAAAACCTGCCGTCCCCCGTCTCACTCCGATCTCTGATGCGCGGCAAGCGACTGCTTTGACAGCTCGTACCTGCCTGCCACCGTTGCACGGGCATGGAGACACATGTTCGCTATTTGTTGCAATCTGCATCTTGCCCGGCCACAGATCGCTGGGTTGGGCTTCAGCGTCCATTGGGCATGTTTGATCGCACTTACGAGTTCGCCCGGCCCAGTGTGACCAACCTGTCACAGCGGGCCACTGCAGCGTTGGAGACATCGGTGCCAATCATTGTCGGATCGTCACATCCCTGGCGACGGGTTGACGTCGTACATTGCTATCAAGTGCGACCTTCAGGACTGAAGAGTTGCCGGCCAACGTTCATGCGTGATGGCTCTCGCTTTCAGTCTATGTACAACTTCTGCACGCGCATGAAATTACACGTCACTCCTTCGCAGCGCACTGCGTTCCCATCGTGACAGCCCATCGGCAAATCCCATCCTGGGCGAATCTTCCTCTCCATTTACTCCGGTCCATGCAATGCTACCGAGCTCTCAAGGGCCCGTAGGCAGGAAGAAAGACGAAAAGTGAAGACAACGCTAAAAGGCTGAACAGACAAGTGACAAACTTTGCAGGAGAAAAAACAAACAGAACACATCCTGCCAGCCACCCGGCCTCTCCTTGAACCATCGTGTGTCAGGCCCTGTACAATTCGTAGCGTCTCATAACGCTGTGCAAGTTTTCGTCATCCGTGCGATGTATTCGCTCGAAGGTACCGCAATTGAACCTCTGAAAAGGCCGAATAGCAGGGGTATCGCTGAAAGGCAAGCAAAAAGCATCAGCAACACAGTGCTAAGAAAGCAAAGCAAAGAGCAAATGCTCAGAAAGGGTTGATCTTGATTGCACATGTGCAGATCAAGTCTTCTTCTACTGCGCCATATTTTCTTTTGGTCGCAGATTCGAGCTGCCAACGTTGGTGGTTTTGTTGGTTCCATTGTTTTTGCGTGTCAACTTGGCGTAGTGCAGGCCGCAGGCATTGCAGAGAGTCCTTGCGCCGTCCGGTCCACGCCGCCATTCCGGCGTTTCGGCGCGGTTACAGCTGTGACAGCGTCCGGGTGGTGCTGCGCGCCCTCTGCGTTTTTTCGTGTCGACGCCTCCAAATCCTCCGGTCTTGCCGTCGTCGGCTTGCTGCTCGTGGTGTTCTGGTTGAGATAGGTGCGGATCAAAGGCTTTGTGTTGTTGCCGCTGATCCGCAGCCTGTTGTTCGTATGCAGCTTGCTGCTGGATAATGACGTCTCGAATCTTCATGAGTGAATCATGAGCCACACGCGATTTGTTGATCATATCATCCACTTCCACAATGCCTGGAAGTGTTTTGAGCGTGGCACCTGACCTCTGCGTCTGGTGCATTCGGTCGCCGTAACGACGTGAAAAGTCACTTAGTATTCCGCTGGTCGCGGCGATCTGCGAGTGATCAGTGAGCTTGATTCGAGCGTCGAGTCAAAGAACAACCTACCTCATTGAGTGCCGCTTCCAAGTCGTAGAAATCAAGATGACGTTTGACACTATCTCCATAACTGGCTGGAGCCTGTGCTCGTTCGTCCGAACGATCTGCAGTCTTCCAGGTGGTCTGAGCAGCCTGAGGAGCGCTGTAGACTGAAGGTTGATAAATTGGCCCAGAAGCGGTGCTTGAGGGAGGCGTTGGGTTGGCATAGCGCGGAGGATATGGTGTGTAGCCGTACGGAAAGCTTGATGGAGGACCCATAGGCCCAGTCGAAGTGGAATTTGGTTGCTCGTACGCAGGTGATGGTTCAGCGGGTCTGGCAAATGTTGTTGATGGAGGTGGACGACTTGTCGGCTGAGATGTCTGGAGCTGTAAAGGCGGCTTCGATTCCGTTACTGGAGGGTATGCTGCTGGGGTAGGGCGTGAGTTTTCCGATGGCGGCGGGTATGCAGGTTGTTGTGATTCTGGTGAGCGATAATGCGAGTACTGGGAAAATGAACTGCTGGTAGTGGAGTACGGTGGTTGCGGACCCTGCGGCGGTTCCATGGGAAACGACCGTCTAGTAGCAGGAGACGGCGAGCTTGGGGTAGTGGCTTGGGTCTGCGTGAGATGCGTTGGTTGCAGAGGTGGTGGAGGATCTGCAGCAGTAGATGTTTGGCGATCTATCCCAAGCGCTTCTGAAATGGAAGGCAGCGATTGCCTCTGTTTGGCACTCCCTTTTTCATTATCACTCGTCCGACGTGACTCAGGTGGTGTATGGACACCCACAGGGGTGCTGGGCCAGGTGTTTGTCGGCGCCACGCTATGAGCATGACCATAAGGCGCTGGAGCACCTTGAGGATAGCGATAGGTCGGGCTCGCGCCAGCACTCGCAGACAAACTTTGCAGCGTGCCAGTGCCAGTGCCAGTGCCAGTGCCAGTGCCAGAGGTTCGATTCTGGTAGACGTCGTCTTCCCGCTTGGGTTTGTCGCTGTCGGCAAGGTAGCTAATGGCTGGAAGCTGAGGTCTGAAAGGAAGCCGGGTCAGTGACATGTCTGGCTGCACTCAATGGTGGTCGGAGAAGGGAGAGGAAGTGCAAGGCAAGTGCATATGCAAAAGGGAAGGGCAGGAAAATACCGTCGTTGGGTGTCCATGGTGGTGGTGAAGGGTAGCGGTGTCGACTAGCGACTATGTACGGAAGATGTAATGTGTAAGAGGAACAATATGGCCACCGATGGCAGCCAGGATTTTCGGCTTCAATGCTGCGGAGATCGCGGCGCGAGATGGGCCAGGATAGATCTGGTTTGGCAGCGTCGCAACGCCAGCGATGTTGTTATTATTGAAGGATGTGCGACAGGGGTCAGGCCGGTCGCCGAGATTTCGCTATGTCGCTGCTCAGGATGGCGCTGTCGAAGAGAGAGCAATGAGGTCCGGGCGGGCGGGAGGGAGCAGAGAGCAGTATGTGGATGGGCGTGTAGGTGGGTGGGTAGTATATGGATGTGGTGGCCGCGAGATCAAGCGGCTGTCACAGGCAGAATGAGCCGAAGGAGTGCACAGGCGCAGACACGCTAATAAATGGGTGGTATGTATGGGTGTGCAGGTCGTGCGGCGCGGGTGCGGGTGCGGGTGCGGTGGGTGTGAATGCGCGGTATTCGAGCAGGATACAGTGAGTGGCAGTGGTGAAGTGCGGTGGGATGCGGTGCGGTGCGGTGCGGTATGGAGGTTAGTGGCAGTGGTAGTCGCCAGATGAAACCAATGTTCGCAGCACGCAGTGGCAGTGGCAGTGGCAGTGGCAGGAGCAGTGGCAGTTTCTGCGGGCGGCCGGCGTGTGCGTGTGCGGGAGTGCGTAGTCAGCAGGTGATGTCGCGACGAGGAGGATGACAGACTACAGCAACAGCAGGAGAACTAGCAGCGAGTCGAGAGGGGAGCGCCAGCACGGAAGAGGAAGCATCTTCGATCGACCCACAGACAAGGACCAGGGTTTGACTGGCGTGGTCGACAGCGTCCACAGGCCAGGGCCAGGACCAGGGCCAGGGCCACAGGCATGGCGCAGAGCGTGATGATGAGTGCATAGACTGCATACCGGGTACTGGAGCAAGTCTCTGCTGTATTAGACACGACACGACACGACCAGGACTGCCACTATGGTGCTGTACATACAAGTAGGTCTGGGTATGCCTCCATGCCCTGCCCAGCGGAGCCTCCATGAACTCGTCATCCAGCTCTACCGTACGCGGGCAGCGAGTGCTATGGTAGGCGTGCAGCAGCAGCAGCAGCAGCAGAGAGTCGTAACACGGCAGGGTGTGCAACGGATGCGAGCAACGAGCGAATCGGCCTGGCAGTTCGCCGCAGCCCACCCATCGCCCATCGCCCATCGCCCATCTTGCTCATTCACTACTGCACTACGATGCGCTGTGTTGTGCTGTGCTGTACTGTGCTGTGCTGCCAGCGTGCGTGCAGCGGTTGTCCACACACACACACACACACACACACACACACACACACACACACCTCTCACCTCTTCTGCGCCGAAGACAGCCGCCACGGACCGCCAGACGCCGTTGACGATCGGCGAGATCGCGATGTCAGATGCTGCACGCCGCTGTTCTGCCGCTGCTGCGTCTCTGCTTTCCGATGGCCATCACCAGTTGATAGATTCGCTGCTGCCCAACGACAGTGTGCCCCGGCAGAGCCACTCACTTGCCATGCCGGCGATTCAGGGCGCTTTCCAGCATGTGATGATGCTGCCGCGCTGCGCGGCTTTGGCCAGAGACATGCTTGCAACCGGTTTATGCACGTCGCTGTTCCCGAGTCAAGCGTGCGGGCTGCGGGCTGCGCGCGCCGGGCTGGCAAGGTCCCTGGTGACGCTAGTGATGCTGGCCGATCTCAGATCCAGTCAATCGACCACGACCACGCCGAAGGAGAAAACGCAGCAGGGGCAGGGATCCATGGCATGCATTGCTGTCAACCGCGCAAACGCGCCAGGCACAGCAACCCCCTCTACACTATCCTGATGCATACTGTGCATATGATATGCCCTCGCCCTCGCGTCTGCTGCTGCTGCTGCTGCTGCTGCTGCTACATGCTTGTACAGTATTCGTGCACAATCCATCCGTAGCTAGCGGTGCCGTGCGTGTCGGAAGCTTCAGCCAAGCCAATCCTTCCTCCGAGACCCACTGATCTCGACGATAGACTTGCATTGGACTCGCTGCCTCTAGGATCGCGCCTATGAACTCACTCAATCTTGATCCAAGCGTGCTGCCTAGTGGCAAGCGATGTACGGCAATCTCGTTCTGAGAAGGCGTCAGACGCCAAGATGACTCCTTCCGTGCACCGTGACTGCCCTGCCATCGCACCGGTGCACCTAGGCTGAATCAAGGCATTGTGACTGTCGAAGATACTGCACCTGTATGCGGGCTGGGGAACGATGGCTAAACGTCGACCCAAACAAATTGCTGACTAGCCTCGAACCCTGACCTGAGCAGAGATGGGAGAGTGCAGTGCCACTGGTGCTACAGAGCCGCAGCAGCTGTGTTGAGGCGGCCTCTCCAAGCCTTGATCGACTCTCTGATTACCAACTGCCGGAGTGCGTGCAGGCAGCCAGGACAGGGCAAAGCGAAAAGAATGAAGATCTCGAGGCGGAAAGTCGTCACACATGCAGCGGCGTCCAGTCAGAGCGGCTTCGTGTCTCCACCGCGCGCATGCAGTAGTGTTGTACGAGAGTGATGGAAACACGTGTGATCAGATAGACAGGCCAAACGGCAGTATGGCCTCAACACGCACTCACCCGCTGTCATCGCATCGAAGCGGGGATCTCTGAACCGCACCACACTAAGCACTTCTCGCCGCCCCGTCCCTTGTCAACTGTTGCTTCGCCTCAAGGCTCATGCCCTGCCCTGCCCTGCTGCTCATCCAACAACTGTGCTACCTGTCGGATGATGAGACAGAGGCTGGCTCCGTTTCAACCGGTGCCATGGTTGAAAACGCCAGTCTCGTGGCAGCTAGTAGGTTGGGTTGGTTCGGCTGGGCGCCATCTGGCATCTACGGACTACTGCAAGCGAGCCGTGCGGCGTGAAGTCGTTGGTCGTGTCGTCAAACCCTGAGATGATGAGATGAGCGCACGTCAAATGTCCGCCATATCGCGCTAGATGGCATCCGAGATAATGAATGCACTTGCCGCTTGACTGCTGCACGAGCAGCAAGCAAGCCTCGAGCCATCGCACTCGGGCTCGCTGGAGCAGGCCTTGCCTTTTCGTGTCGACGCTCTTGCACATGTACTGTAGCTTTTACGCGACGACGTGAGTCGTGACATCGCTCGCGGCTCATCATCATGCATCCTATCCCGCAATCTCTCCCTGATTATTGGCGTGTCGAGCCTGCACAGTCGCAGGCAACTTCCGCCATCCCGGTTCTGACATGTGCATGGGAGGAGGCCGGCCATGAAAACTCTTCCTGGCCCAAGCATGTGTTCCCAAGATCGGCTCGCCGGTTGGCATAACGCCGGTTCATAGAATTTACTGTACCATTTATGACATGTCGATGAGCGAGCCCTTAACAGTGGTCGCTGATGTCGCCTCCATGAACACGTGTCCACCTCGAGAGCGTGTCCCCGTAATTCTCCCAGAACACTGTACCATACACGGCAAGACCTCGTTGCTGGGACTTCGGGACTCACAGAGCGTCGGCGCCCTCGGCCAAACATCAGCAATAATGAGCATGGAGACCGCTGTTCGCGGCTGCGCCCCGCAACGCAACCAGATCTAGGAATCGAACAAGATTCGATCCGCTCAAGGCACTCGTCCGCGGTGCGTCAGGCCCAATCACAAAGTCTTTCTGCAACCGTACTGTACTGTCGGGTCACTCGCAGCGCCTGCGAACCAATCTACCCGCACAGCACAGCTCCACCGAGATGTTGGCATTATCGGTACATTGACAAACCCTCGTCTATCAAAGCAGATTTCTCAATTTTCTCATCATCAGCTGGCCACACAGTGTTACCTTGGCGCCAGGGCCTTGGATAAATGTGACTTCCCGGAGATCAACAGACTTTGGCAGGAAGTGACTCAAAAAACGTGGCCATCTCCGACCACCCACCTAGTGGGCTACACACCCCGGACACACCTCCCGTATCGGACACTGCTCAGAAATTCGGATTCAGAATCCTGCTGGGTACCTGGCCCTTGCCTGTGCTGGTGAGTTGGCAGCAACGCTAATAATAACAATCGGTCAATGCATCGAGTATCGCCGCAGGAAGGAGTAAACTATATCGCCTCGAGGAACGAGACGTGTGAGATGAGTTCAGATCAGATGCATCAGAGATTGCGTTGCATTTGATCCGGCGAGTTCGTAGGTTGAAGACGTTTGAAAACAGTCTGCTGCGCCGCTGAGCACAAGTACAAGGTACCTTCACCGCTACCCGACGACAAGTCCCATTTGTGCAAGTAGGCTTTGCATCCGGCACGATACCTTGTCTCCTCCGCGATCTATTTTCTGCATTTCTACCTCAATCGATACGGTACCTGGTATCTCAGATAAGGATATCGCAATGAATGCCGACGCGCCACTCATAAATTTGCGCACGAGCTTTCTCGGTCATTGAGATGAACTGGCGCCGAACGAATTTGTTGGTTGTATCGTGATTCGTGAATCGCTGACTCTCTGACCACCATACCCTGGTTCAAACCATCAAGCAACATGCCCGCATCGATCACCAGATTCCGATTGACGGATGATGACGCATCTTGCCAGCAGAACTCGTGGAGCAGACTCGTGCTCGCTCGCTCGCGTTTCCAGAGAGAGATTTGTTGGGCCTAATAACAATACCTAGTTCGCATGGAACACACACCATCTACTGTGATGCGTTTCAAATTTCCTGCCCACTGCCGGTAACATTTTAATAATGCTCCTGGTGAGTGTCAAGTGTGTGAAGCCACCAGCATCGCCTGAGAAACCCCTCTGAGATGAACACGAGACTTCCACAAGCATCCGGATCATTTGCGCTCACATCGAATTCATGCCCAACGACTAGGGTTGCTGCGAGATGGGAGGCGTGCAGTTTAAGTTTATAGGACAGACCCAGCACCCTGATGCTGCAGGCGTTTGCCTGTCACGAGGCACTAAGCCTCATGGAGTCAATGGACGACCACGTTATCGCTCGAGTGTCCGGATCATCTGTGAGGCTCTTCAATTATTATTGACCGAGGATGATGAGTTTGTTAGGCATACACAGCCGAACATCCGAGCCAGCAAATGGCAAGTGTCTGACCTAGAGAGACACGACGGAAAGGGAAAGCCAACCCGTGCTCACATACTGTATACCTGTGGGTGGTTGGTGACCGACGAGATGGTACCTTTCGTTGGATAGCCATCTGCAGCAGATCTGACTGAGGGTCACAGTACAAAAAGAGCAGCACAGGGACAGACTCTAATGAATTTCTCATGTTGGAATGTACGACAGGGCTTGCTGTTTCACCGCGAGCATAGACCATCCAAGAGCAACCGATACACATCGACTCGAGTCGTCGGAGTCAGTGCAAGAACTCCAATAAACAAGAGGCCGGTCGGGGAAGACGTGTAGGTCCGGAGGCCAGCAGTAGCATTGTGAAGAAGATTCATGTGACAAGAGATGGAAGTATTGCATCTGGACGTAACCTTGAGCATCCCGTGCATGAGTATCATTGAGTTCTTTCTCCTACGATACCTTGGCTACGTGTCGATTCATTTGTGCTCTAATGTTGCTGAAACCGATTCTGTCGTACGAGAAAGATCTGGGAATCGCGGAGATCCTCCGCCCATGTCTCTGTAACCTTCACCACAGTCCTTTGAATGGTGCCAGTCCTAGTCCCTCGGATGTGCTCTCATGATGTGCGAGCTCTTCACATGGAAGTCAACAAGACCCACGTACTATGCCGGTGATTCCCACAGGGTGCACGGTTGTCCTATGCGAATGGCGCCAATGACTTGGACGACGAGTTGCGATTGACAGTGCTGACATACGAGATTCGATACCCAGTCCTGCTGTTCGTGAGCGCTTGATGGTGTTGTGCTCTGTTGAGCACCCTTCGATCACAGAGTGAGAAAATGCTGTCGAAGTTGCCAGTTGCAGTTTTCCTTCAAGTGCCTTGCTGAGCCTGCGCAGGGAGACCAGTAGCCGGACGTCCACGCTCCTCTTCTCCTTCGACACTTTCCTCTTCATCACTGTCCATCAGCGGCTCCCATCCCACTTTCTGTCGCAAAACTCTGTTTTCCTCCTTCAACGCGGCAATGCGCTTCTTGTAAGGCATGCCCTCATCGTCTCTGGCCTTCATTGCCGCTCTCACGCCCTCACTCAACCTCTGCAAGCCAGCCTGCCATGCCTGGTGAGTCAGCTGTGCCTCGACTGTCTCGCTCCTACTCTGCGACAGAAGCTGGGTATAATGCTGATGCAGGGCGATGATATGGTTCTGCTGCTCGAAGCAGTACTGTCGGATGCGTGCCGTGGTATCTTGAAGAGTTTCCTCGTACATTTGCTGTAGGCGGAATTGCTCCTGGTATGAACGCTCGAGAGAAGCGATGCGGGAATTGGCATTGGCCAGAGCTGTATGCAATTGCGAAACAGTAGGCTGTGCTGGCTCTTCGACTGCTGCACGGCGTTAGTACATAGATCTGGCCGAAACGACAGCCAGATGGCTACGAAGGAGTCACTGAAAGGAGCGGCATCACAGGGTCACGGAATATCAACGCGGAAGTGGAGACATACGCTGGGTATCACCATTGAGAAGCGGCAGCTGGCCTTGTTGCGCTAATCTACCCTGAAACAGCAATGAGCAATGTTTTTCCAGTGATTGAGCGTAGTGGCAGCCGGTTGGTGGAAGGCATACTTGCAATCGCTCAACGCGTGCTAGGCCCTCCTGCACGTGCGACCATTCCTGTCTGTTCTGCTCCAGCCAGCCTGAGAGCGATTCCATGTTCTGCATGAGTGTCTGCATGTCGCTGTAGTGACCTGCTGGTGGCATGACGTTGCCATTCATGCCTGAGTACATTGCAGCATTCTGTGCGCCGAGGCCGTTCTGGTTGGCCATGATGAAGCTGTCGATGTGTTGATGCGGGTTGTGCTTGTGCAATCAGTCGGAGTCCGCTGCTGGTGGTGGTGGTGGCGGGAGTGGGCGACTGCGAGTGGGCAGTGACAATGGTGGAGCGGCGTTCGACACTGCACCGTCCTCGTCTGCGTCCGCGACTGCGCTCTCTCCCTCTCCCTGTCCGTCACCTTCCTGCTCTTGCTCGGAATCTTGGCTGAAACTGGACCGCCGGTATGCTGACTCTGGCACTTTCTCGCCGGCACCGACACGATATGAGGTGCGAACGGAGTCTTGTGAGGAGCTTCGAGACGATGATGCGGCGTTGTGGTGTTGGGTGTCGGTCGTGCTTGCGCGTTGACGTTCGCGTTGACGAGCTGTGAGAGGTCGAAGTCAGTTCCAGTTTTGCGGGGCCCGAATTTTGATGACTCAGGCATCAACTTTCACATGCGCGCTCGCGCTTCACACGTAACTTACCTGCTTCTTCTGCTGCTTGCAGTTGGCCACCGATGCGCTGACCCTCCTCTGTGGCCCAGAAATAGCTGTTTCCCGATGGAGAGTAAATCTTGTATGCGCCAGGAGGCGGTCTGTGTCTGGCGATGCTAGCTCTTAGACTCGCCTGCATCTCGTCCAGCATGCGCGTGCGAAAGGTACGCCCACTCTGGGCAGCTGCTCCGAGGTCGTGCTCATCTGGAGTCAATGTGGTCAGCATGTGAGCCTTGAAAGCCGCTCGCGAACTTCACATACCAAACTCGTTCAGATTCTTTTGGATGTCGCTCAGCTTCGTCGTCGGAGCTGGAAAGGCACGGAACAGCGGCTTGCTGTAGAAGGCGGGATTGCCGCTCATCACGTTGCGCGAGTACTGAGCGTAGTTCTGGATTCTTGGGTCGTCGCTCATCTCCTCTTCATCATCCGCTGGCGCCTTCGATCGCTGGCGTGCGCTGATGCTGGCGCCGCTCGATGCGTTGGTGCGTGGGACGGATGGGCTGACGCTGTGGCTTCTGGTCAGCTGCTTATCCTGCCCAGATCTTGATGCTGCACTCTCCGATCTTGCTGCACGACTCTGCGCCAGAACGGCGATTCGTGCGGCAGCCGCAGCAGACGGCCTCGTTGACTGCACCCGTGGACTTCTAGGACCCGAGGGCCTTCTAGGGACTGGCCGCGGCGGCGACGATGGCGGCGACATTGACTCTTTGGAATCTGACTCTGACTCTGGACGTGATACTGTTCGAGATTGGTCGAGGCGCTCGTGCACTGAGCGATGGAATTCTGTCAGCAAATTATGCTATGTCGAAAGGGAAAGTCAGAATTTGAACGGTGGGGTGGAGTTGAAGGGTGAGCTTTCGGAGCGTTGCTGTGTAACGTTTGTGGTTCTGTGAATGAGATGCATGACGGTTGGCAAGGTCAAGATTTACACTGCTGCTGCTCGGCCTCATTCAGAGTGATGGCGTTGCTTCTTCGATGTCTAGTCGCTGGCCTCTCGCTGCCTCCTTCTACCTCTTCGGCTGCCTCCTCCAATCTTTGCTCTGCTGGTGATACATTTTCTGGTCGGCTGGTGGCGTCTGCAGCTGCCGGCAACGGCTCTGCAGCTTCTTGCTGCAATGCTTCTGCTCGCCGATCAGCCGAAGCACGACTGGCTGTATGAGAGACCGCTGAAAACATACCCAATGAGTCTTTCCTCGTTCCATTTCCATATTCTGCTTTGTCAAGTTCCTCAGCCGATGGTCTTGCTGGTCTGCTCAGACTGGAAACTCGCTGAATGGCCTGGTCAACACTTTCTCCTGGTTTGGCGAGTGGCGTCATCTTGAGGGACTCCTTGACTTCTTTCAGGCTCTGAGCGAAGTCGGATTTCTGTGGAGAGCCCTTCATACTGCTTGGAAGAGCTCCCTTGGCCGGGATGTTCAATCCCACGCTTGGTGTCGATTTCGCACTATGAGGCCTCCAGTCTTTTGAAGAGCCATCCAGGCCAAACGAGATGCTACTCTTCGTAGAATCAGGGGAGCTTGTGCCATTGTCTGGCCCCTGCGAGGATTCCGAACGTTTCTGCTTGCTTGAACGAGGTATACCTAGATGCTTGGATGCTTGAGACTCCACTATATGACCTTCTGTAGTTGAAGGAGACTGCGAATCACTGGCTGTGCTCCGTCTACTCGGTATGTCCTTGGCAATTCCGATCATTCTCTGGATCTGTTTGATAGCGTCAGAGACATCGTAGCCAGTAGTGCTTTGGCGTAGATCTGTCGATTGCTGGATTTCTGGAGACAGATTTGTCTTTAAGTTCATATCCTCATCATAGGCGGTCTTGGATGAGCCCGCAGGCCGACTGGAGACTGCATCGACCCCACCGAAGTGAATGGACTTCGGCTTGGGAAGTGTCTCGGATCCATCAAATTGAGATCCAATACTGCCAACGTTGTCGAATTCTTGAGGAGAAGTTGCTGAAGACTTCACGCGGTCACACGACTTGCCTGCAGCAGATACTGATGGTCTCTTGGGCCTCGGTGGTGTTGGAGGTCGAGCAGTCTGTAAACTCATCAGCATGCATTCAGGAAAGGTAGACTCGCCGGTGCAACTACCTCAAAGTCGAGATGCGATGCTGGAGGCAACACTCCAATACCATCAATCGATGATCTACGCCTCGACAAACCTATCTCTGGTCCTTTGCTGTCACAGGCCGAAGTGTCTGTGGTGCTTCCGACAATGCTTTCGCCGAAGATGCTGTGATAGTGACCTCGCAAGCCCCAATTCCACAGGACCTTGCCAACTGCAGGTTTATCTGACTTGGGCACTGAGGCAATGCCTGAGCGAAGTCTGAAAGAGGTAGGTGTCGTTCGGTCTGACGATGGAAGCATTCCCATCGAATGATATGCTTCCTGCAAAGCATTGCAATAGTTCTGATTATAAATGTCTTGTGGAGCGTCGGAGAACAAGTCGTCCGGATGCAAACCAGAAGGCGGACGGGTTGGCAGTCGACCAGTTTTGATGTTGTGGCAGCAGGTGGGAAACCTCGCTGGTAACCCAAACAGGAATGGAAGTGGATCCGGCTCCTCAGGCGCCGCAAATGTCCAAACTGCGATTTCCGTATGTGCTCCATCTGTCATCTCAGATCCGCCAACAGGGTCGCGAGATTCCCGCACTTGGTCATCACGAGATTTTTGGCCATCGTGAATAGACATTGACGAATCATCCCTTGCGGCAGCGAGGTGATGTGCGAAACTGTCCTGTAGCGAGAGATCCGCTCTCGCTCTTCGGGCACTTCGAGTCTCTTTGGTAACGTTCTACGTTGGGGTTCGACATTCCGAACTTGTTAGCGGCGCGTATGAGTGGAGTTCGTTTACTGGCGAATCTGGACACGGCATTAAGTCTTCACCGACCAAGTCGAGCCAGAGCCCCAGAAGGGAGCGGGTGTTTCTCTTGCCGTCCGGACTATCCGAATGCCCATGTAGGACTTTTGTTGTGGGCTCGTCTTCATTGCGTTCCGGCGGTAATGTCTCGCTCGGGGGCTCAACCTTCGCTCTGGTAGACATCACATCTACCCAGCTCATGAAGGGATCGGTTTCGCATTCACTTTGTTCAGTCGTGCTAAGATGAGGTTGACAACCGTCGTATTGTTTATAGTCGTCGGATAGCTTTCGAATGGTGCTGCGGCTTGGGCTCCATGATCTCGTCTTCACCGCGTTGATCTCGCAATGTGGTGAATCTTCGTTCTCGGAGAAAGGTCTGGTGCTTGATGAGACAACATGTAAGACTCGCCCGACCACAGTACACAGTACTCACATTTTTCGACAGCTGTTCACGGCGTCCCCTCTGCGATGATCGGGTGACAGTGACTTGGGACTGCCTCCAGACTTTATCTCACTGAGCACCGCAGCAGGTAGATTCGACATGAGCAATCTGAGAGATCCAAATCCCTTTCGTGCTTCGATCGGCTTGAGCGCTTGTGTTGGCTCGGGAGGTTTGCTGCGGTATTGAAAAGATGAGTCCGAACCAGGATCAAATACAGCTTGATTCATGCCGAAATTTGTGTCTGATACGTAATTGCTGCTTTCTGATGTCTGCTAAATATGCCAGGGCCAAGGTTCTCTTTACAGAGGTGCCTCGAGTTGACTCGAACTTGGTAGAGATGATCGCGAAACGGCAGGAAGGAGACTTACATGTCTGTGGAAGGCACAGAGTTGCGCTCTTCCAAGGCTGTGTCTCTCTTGCTTATCCATCCACTGCTCCTTCCCACCTTGGATCCAAGTGCTCTAATTACTCAACTTCCAGGCCACCTCAACTTGCGACTGTGTGCCGACAGGCTCAGTAGCTATGTACACAGTAGCACGTGCCCCTCGAGTGGTTGCTTGGGAGATATAGTCCTGATAAGACTAGGGTTCGACCACGCCGGATTCGTGCTTGTTCAGCCGGCCGTGATTGATGGAATCGCGCTGCGAATGTCGATGCTTCATTTTTGGCTTCACTTCTCAGTAAGAACGAAGCGTCGCTCAACTTCCCGTGGCGCTTCATCGTCTTGGAAATTGAGCTTGACCATCTCGCCCTTCTCATTTGCAAGATCTTTGGCCCTCCAGGGTTCAATAACTTCGGCTTTGTAGAAAGTTGTGGTGTCCGGATACTGTGCAAGCACCTGTTTCCTACTTGGCAGATCGTTTAGACCCTTGTTGTTTCCGGGTATCTGGATGAGCTGGGAAACGGAGGCACGCTGCGGAGGTGGAGGCTCTCCTTGCGTGTCGGCATCCTGGACTTCGTAGCGCCTCTGTTTTCCCTCTCCGATGACGTTGGTAACACGGCAAAGAATGCCCTCACCTTCGGGGGGATTCTTGGGATCCACGTTCTTGGCATCGTGGCGACAGAATACAATTTCTCCTTGCCTCAAGACGAGACGGTTAGAAGGTCGACTGTGAGCCGAGGGCTTGTTGGATGCGGTTGCTGTCGATACACCATCTGCGCTGCTTGCAACAGACTCGGCACCATCCTCAACTTTGACGGACGCCTCTCGCGTTGTTGCAATACTGCCGGACCTAGACGTCTTCTCTTTGACGGATAGCCTGTTCGCGGTAAGACTGATCCTGGGTGAAGGTGCCGCGGAGACTTCGTCCGCATCTTCAGTGCTGGCAGCAACAGCTGAAGCAGTCTTGCTTCCAGACTTCTTGGGCCCTCGAGACAACTTTCCACTAGCTGCGCGTGGTCCCTGACTTGCCTGCAAGGCAGCTGCGGCAGACTCCTCAGATGCTTCCCTCAGGCCTGCCAAGATGTTGATACTGTCGAGAAGATTCATGTCGATTGACTTGCCCTCGATAATGTGGGCTACGTCTTCACAGATCTTGACATTCTCGCGATACAGCTTCTCCAGTCTCTCATCGAGGGCTGCGTCGCTCGACTTCCCAGCGTGTATCAAAGCCGCCTGCTGCGTCTCGGCTTGCAAGATCTCCTCGCCGATGTCATTTGACCTGGCCTGCGCAGTGTGAGTAGGTGTGCACGAGCTCAAAGCTGCTGTAGACAAGAGCGATCGAGGAGAACAGATGGACAGTGTGGTCGAGCAATGCGAGATCCGATGCACTTACCACCATAGCATCGACCTCCTTCGCCCTGTCGGTAATCTCCTTCCACAGCCGGCGCTCCTCATCTGCGTCGTGGTTGGGATTTGCGCGGCCTCTACTCCGCGCGGACATGTTGTGTTGTGAGTCTTGTGTATCGATGGTCTTCGATTAATCGAATATGATATGCCGAGCAGAACCGCGCTGATGTGATGTTTGCGTTTGTTTGTTCGGAGCCTGAAACAGCCACACGGACCCTGGAGCGCTGGATTTCAACGTGGCGCATCTGGCCCCAGAAATCCTCTCTCGCACAACCAAAGTCAGCGCCGATTATACAAGAGCTGCCTGCAACCCTTCTCCAGCGACGAGAACAAGCCTCAACGCGCCGCGCTTTCCAACTTCGAAGATGCAAGTCCCTCTTCTTCGTCTCCAATGCGGTCAGTGAACGGAGGACCCATGCTGCGAACTTATGCTAATGCGCTTTCAGGCTGCAACAGCTACGAATGGGGTCGGTCGGCAACCAAGTCATCTGTTGGAAACCTGCGTTAACCCACAATGCAGGCAAGATTGGGAAGGACTCGGCCGCAGCTCGCTTTGCTTCAGCTACACCATCGAGTGGCTTCTCGATTCAACAAGATCAGCCATATGCCGAAGTCAGTCCAAACCGAGCGAGAATGAACGAGCGTCGTGTCCTGATATCAGCAGCTATGGATGGGTACACATCCTTCAAACCCATCGAAAGACCTTGCAACCGGCCGCACTCTTTTGGACCTGCTGCAAGACAACCAGGCTTTGCTGTCGCCGACAATCTCGAAGCGATATGGGAACAAGCTTCCCTTCCTGTTCAAAGTTCTCAGCATCAGCAAAGCGCTCTCAATCCAAGCACATCCTAATAAGAAGCTGGCTGAGCAGCTCCATTCTCGTGATCCAAAGCACTATCCGGATGACAACCACAAGCCGGAGATGACGATTGCGGTCACTCCATTTGATGGTCTCTGTGGTTTTAGACCGCTAGACCAGATTGCCCATTTCCTGCAGAGCGTTCCTACGCTCCGACAGCTGGTCGGCGAGGACACCGCAGCCAACTTCGAGAAAACGACCAAGGGACAAGAGACTACCAATGATAGCTCCAAGACGCAGCAGAACAAGAAGGCATTGCAGGCAGCCTTCACAGCTCTCATGCTGTCAAAACCGGCGGATATTGAGAAGGCCGCGCCCGAATTGATCAAGCAAGCTCAAGCAGAAGGGGCACAGTTCGCTGGGAGCGGTGGCCCTGCCAACGATGGTCAGGAGCTCGCCGACCTCATGGTCCGCCTCAACGACCAGTTCCCCAACGACATCGGGCTCTTCGTCAGCTTCTTCCTGAATTACGTGAAGCTTGAGGTCGGCGAAGCCATGTTCTTGAAGGCAGATGACATTCATGCCTACCTCTCGGGTGATATCATCGAATGCATGGCGTCTAGCGACAACGTGGTCCGCGCCGGCTTTACGCCCAAATTCAAAGATGTCGACACCTTGACCACTATGCTCACCTACTCGTACGCACCAATCAGCGAGCAGAAGATGAGTCCCGTTGACTACGCCTACGTCAAGCTCAACACGACCGCATACAGCTCAAACTCGAGCTCGACACTCTACGACCCCCCTATCGAAGAGTTCAGCGTGGTGAAGACTGACATTAATGCGGAAAGAGGCAAAGCAACATTCGAGGCCGTTGGGGGACCGTCGATCGTGATCTGCACCAAGGGTGTCGGCAAGATCAGCGTCGGTCCAAAAACCGAAGAGATCAAAGAGGGCTATGTCTACTTTGTGGGCGCTACCGCCGAGCTGGTTCTGGAAAGCACAGGCAGCGAGCCTCTTGTCACATTCAAGGCCTTCTGTGAGCTGGACGAGCCGCAGTCCAATGGCTCCAATGGCAATCTCTAGCAGTTGAGTTTATTTTTGGCAGAGGATGGGAAAAAAGTTGATAGACGAGTCTGTTGGAGCATCTCAGATCAGATCCGCGATACTCATACAATCATGTCAAAAAGTACACATCTTTGGCCAATCTAGTTGCTGACACAAGACTTCTCCCAGCGATATGACAGAAAGATATCAACGAGTCAGTGCTGACCCTGGTAGAATGCTTGAACGCTTGAACGGAAGATGTCTCGCGCCTCGCAATGCAATCGCTCTCATACAATTACAAAAAAAGTAAGACAATAGAAGAAGCATACAAAAGGTGCCGTCTGCGCCAGGCCTGACGGGATAGGGGGTATCCTGGGAAGCAAGAAGAAAGCTTCTGCTGTCGCTGGTCTGTTCGTGTTTGGCCTTGACCTTGAGGCTTCTCGTGCCAATGGCCTACGGCCATCTGTCGATCCTCGGTAACAGTCTCAATAATCGTGAGTCGTGCGGCGTGCAATGGTGCTCACTTCTGCGCCGGGAGCTTGACATTGCTGCTCAGCCACGCGAGGCCCTCGAAGATGCCCTCTCCAGTGGTCGCGCAGCTGGGCTCAACTTTCCACGTGTGGTCTTTCGCTATTCTCTGCAGCTCAAGCATGTCCGAAACCTCCTTCGGTCTCATCGCTGTGTGGTGTCAGTCTCACTCGGTCACAACTGCACCTCTCCTGGAGTAGTGCCTTCCGGCCTCACTCACCTCCTGGAATATCTTGCTTGTTTGCAAACACTAGCAAGAGAGCGTCCTTCATTTCCCGGTCTTGTATTATCCTCGCCAACTCGCTCCTCGCCTCTTCCATGCGATCACGATCGTTGCTGTCAATCACGAAGATCAGACCCTGGGTGCCGGAGAAGTAATGCCTCCACAGTGGCCGAATCTTGTCCTGGCCGCCCACATCCCACACGTTGAACTTGGTGTTCTTGTAGGTCACTGTCTCGACGTTGAAGCCGACCGTCGGAATGGTGGTAACATCGGTATCGAGCTTGAGCTTATAGAGAATTGCTGCACATCTAGTCATTAGCACGCGTGTTTATGAAATGGTATGTCTGGCGCGCTGGCGGCGTGACAGTGACATACTTGTCTTGCCTGCTGCATCGAGTCCCAGCATCAACAGTCGCATTTCTTTCGATCCGAAGATCTGGTTCATGAGCTTGGATATCTTCTGACCCATGTTGCCGGTCGTCGAGGTGTTTCCGGGTTCGTTGCGATCGCGAGCGCGCGGAGGAGAGTGATCACAGATTGACGCGACGAGCAGGGGCTGGCGTGCTGTAGAGTCTACGCGCTGTATGCTGTATGTATGCTGTATGCTGCGTGCGTGCGTGCGTGCGTGCGTGCGTGCGTGGCGATCTGACTCCTGGTGTAGCTGGACTTTCGGCGAGATGCAACGATTCGATATGAGCGGCGAAAGGAGCCAATGTCGCAGGAAATCGAGCTTCAGTCGCGTGCAGCTCCGTAGAACTTCAATGGTAGGTAGTGGCTCTATCTTGGGCTTTGCAGCGGTCTGAGTGGCCAATCGTCAGTTTTGTATGCGGCCTCCCTGCGAACTAGAACCCGCGGTCAGGATTCTGCAATGATTCAGGGCGACCTCGGTGCTGCTTGTAAATTAATCTCTGGCGGCAGCGGCAGTAGTAGGCTACCAGGACTGCTTCATTACACCTGCGTTTCTGCCACCAGAACTAGCCTTTTTTTAGCCGCTCATGTACTGTGTGCAGTAGTCTACGCAGGACGTGTTTCATCTGCAGGGGCATATCGATATTTCACACATCGAACCTCCTCTCTTCCTTCCACTCACCATATGCTGGACGCCCTCATCTTTGCACTTCTGCTCACTAGCCAGCTGCAGCAAACATCGCCTTCTCCTTCATGAATGATGACAGCAGACTCGGGACGAGGACAGTATCGACCTTAATCATCACAACCTTCACGTAGAACTAACCTTTTTCCTACCAAGTGGAGTATATCACAAAGCGCGGCAATTGCACCAGTTTGATTTGCCCATGGGGGCCGCTATTTCGAACGAGTGCAGTGGACAACGCGACAGGGAATTTCCTGGTCAACTGCGCAAACAAGCCACGACTTTCATGAATTCATAGGCTTAAAGCATGCCTGACTATCGCCTCTCGCAACGACAAGGTGCAATCGGCAGCTGATTGAAGCGGGAGAAAGGCTCGAAGTGCAAATCGCAGAATGAATTTTGGTTCCAAGAATTGCAGGTGCTCGCAGCAGAACTGATTGTCAGTAGAGGCTGGGAGGAGGGATTGAATGCCACTAGAAACCATCATCGATGCCACGACCTTTCTCCTCCTTCAGTCTCCGCTCATGCACCTCCCACCACCATTGATTCGAGGCGTCGCGCGCTCCTTTGCTGACCGTCTCAAGCGTATGACCGACACTGTTCTTCTTCTGCTCGTCGTTCTCATCCCACGGTTTGGGGCTCAAGATGTAGTGTACATTTTTCACCTTGTCATCCCGCCAGATGGGTGCGTGCACACCTTCCCATCTCAGCGTCTTCAGAGCGTTGTAAATGTATGGCAGTGCCACCCACCTGCCATGGAAAAGATCTCCTAGCAGACTCTGGTCCGCGAAGTCGTACTCCATAATGCTTGGATCCTGGAGTCTTGACAAGATCATTTCGTACACGTCTGCACTTGGCACTACCACCTGCAGCCCTCCATTTGGCATTGCCAATCCATCTGCAGGACCAGCACCCGCAGTCTGCGCAGCCTCCGGAGCCCAGTGCTGCCACGTAAATGCACAGTTTCTCGGTATCCAATCTTTCGGATAATGAGGCTTTTTCAGCGGGTTGCACACACAAGCATGGCTTGCTGCAAACACACGCTGACCCTTTCCTGCCAACTCAGCGCCGTCAAGCGGTATATCCATTAACTCGTCCATATTCTGCAACGCCAGCATGTCACTGTCGAGCTGGACAACACGCTCGTATTCCACCAGACTGAATGGTGTCAACTTTGACCAGCAATCGTAGAATCGCGGGTCGTTGGTGAAGTCTTTCTGCGTCTTGGGCAGAAGGTAATTGACGCGTTTCTTCGGTATTGAGCGAGCATCTAGGGCGGCATGGCCCTCAGCCGGAAATGTGTCGGTATACAGCGCGATAAGCGGATACTTGGATCCGACGAACTTGAGGGAGGCATCGAGTGTTAAGAGGCCTGGTAAATATTTGGTGTTCGTGATCAGAGTAGTCCAGACCTTGGAGCTCTCAACCACTCGCTTCGGTGTCGGATTGGCGGCTTCGGCGCTGCCGCTGTTTTGATCTCTGGCCATTTTCAGGAGATGCAGTAGGGGTGTGCTGTGACGAGCTGCGAAGAGCGACCTTGATGGCCTCGTGTCTGCAGAAAACTCGCCTGCATCTTTTCATCTAGACGATGAGGAAGTTTTGGTGAACTAGAAAACCGAAATGTGAAGCCAATCAATGCCGTCATGTCAGTCGGCATCGGGTTTAGCCTGCATGAACCTAAGATCCGCACATATTCTAACCTCATTCACATCGAGGTCTATCAGGGAGGATTGAAAGGTTTTTATGTGGAGCGCAATGCTGGACATACTTCTTCACATAAACCCTCGAATTCAATGTGTGCAAAGGTGAGCGATGCGGCCGCCTCATCAACCCCAGCAGGCAGTCCACACGGCGCAACCCAGGCTGTAGTGAGTCCCTCGAGTTCGTCAAAGAAAAGCGGCAATTGGAAAGGTTTCGTAGCGGGAATTTTCAGTGGCATCACGAAATTGAGCGTCGGGTAGGCCAGAACGTGGATATGAGCTGTCAGACTGAATGCTAAACGGCACAGACACCCTTTCGACACGATCAAGGTCCGTTTGCAAACCTCAAAACATGACCAGTTCAAAGGGCCGTTGGACTGCCTCATGCAGACTTTGCGCAAGGAAGGTGTTAACGGCATTTACAAGGTCAGTATCGATGTAGACAGTAACAGCAGTCGAGGCTGAACTTTTGAGCAGGGTGCCACGCCGCCTTTAATAGGGTGGATGTGCATGGACTCGTTGATGCTAGGCTCCCTCACGTTGTATCGGCGGTTGTTGAATGAGCACGTTTTCCAACCTCTTCGAGCTCGGCCCAATCATCCCGCAGTCTACTTGCCTGACGAGGAACGCAAGAAACTCCCTGCAGTCGGTCACGGCATTGCGGGCATGCTCGCGGGCTGGACTGTATCCTTCATCGCGGCTCCAGTGGAGCATGTAAAGGCTCGTCTGCAAGTCCAATACCAAGCGAACAAGACAGAGCGTCTCTACGCAGGACCGATTGACTGCGCTCGCAAGATCTACCGTGGCCATGGGGTTCCGGGACTATATCATGGACTCTTGGCCACTTGTATCTTTAGGACTTTCTTCTTTGCTTGGTGGGGAACCTACGACATTTTCACTCGTTGGTTTCAGAAGAACACGACCATGTCCGCGCCGGCGGTGAATTTCTGGGCTGGTGGCTTGAGCGCTCAGATCTTCTGGCTCACTTGCTATCCCTCTGATGTCGTAAAGCAAAGAATCATGACAGATCCTCTCGAAGCCGATAAAAGGAAGTTCCCCCGATGGCGAAATGCCGCAGTGGCGGTGTATCGAGAGAGCGGATGGAAGGGATATTGGAGAGGATTTGTGCCATGCTTTCTGAGAGCTTTCCCAGCAAATGCGATGGCGTTGGTGGCATTTGAAGGCGTCATGCGAGCGTTGAACAAGAGCGATGCATAGTTCGTTGTCACAGATTTCATAGCTCTCCTACTTACAAGATCTCCTCGCCTGCAAGCAGATTCGACAGAGTGGCACGACTCAATCGAGAGATCATCACCGAAGGTTGCACGGCGCCGTAGTTTCGACATCAAAAGAAGACCTGCCGGTGACAATTCGCTGGTGCTCGATTGAGATCGTATGTTGATGTACAAAAAGTATTTCTCACCGGCTATGCTATATGATCGCACTTCTATCCCACCTACCAGAACGCCTTGCTAGAGATGTAGTCTTTACTCATTGTAGTGAAACACCTATTCGAATGTCAGTGCTACCAACCTCAGAGCACAAGGGACGTCGACTTACGAAATAGTTTGGCAGGCCGTACGATTTCCAATTGAGCCTCTGCGCCATCTTGGCGAAGCCTTCGGTCTCAATGAGGTGGTAGAATGGAAATGGCGGAAACATTGCGCCATCACGGTGCACATCTGCTTTCACCAGCAGGGCCGTGCCTCCAACACCATCTAGGTCTACTTCACGACGTGGATCTCCATGATCATCTGCGCATTAGGTCAGCCATGGGTCCTGAATAGTGTTCAGTTCTTGCCTACCGGCCATGTATGCCATCAACGATCGATAGGTCGCCATCTCAGCGTAGCCTTCCAGAAGGATATCCTCTGGACCCATCTTCTCCGCCAGACCCTGAGCTGTAAGTGAGTCTTGCCAGCTATTGAAGTCATAGGGCCGGACATCCATCGCCTCCTTCTCTTTGTTATAATATCTTTGGAAACAATTCGGCACTATGATCGGTTTGTCGTGAGAAGCCAGGTCCTGAATGAGGCTCGGCGGTGTCTCGACAATGTCGCTATCTAGCCACAGGACCCAAGATGTAGTCGGGCCCAAGGTTGTAAATAGCAAGCTATTCCTTGCGCGACTCATCGCGGCTCTCCGCTCCTTTTGGGCGGCCATTGCATGCCTTTCGCCTTCGTTTTGCGCTGTGGGCGGCTCACTGTCCTGCCTCAAAATGGTGATTGACGCGAATCGATTCTTGTTTGTTGGTGCTTGCGTTTTTGATATCCTCTCCTGGAGTTGTTGTGTGGCCAGATTTCCTTCCCTTCCTTTTGGAATAATAAAGCCCAGTGATATCAAATCGTGTGGATACGACAGCTTGACCAAGTTGTCCCAATACTCCTGATAGAATCTTGCCAAAGGCGTCAGAATCAATATAGATTCTCTGTTGCCCACAGGGTCACTGGTGGTAGTGACATTATTCATGTGATAGTGCACGACGGGCGGGGGAGGTGCAACTTCGTTCGGGCCCAGTTTCTCGGGCTTTCGAAAGGGGAGAGAAGGTGGTGAGAGGGCATTGAAGGCAGTATCCTTGCTCTTAAGAATCTGCCGCGGCGCAGAAGAAATGGATGGTATGCTCGTGCTGTCGGCGAAGAAGAAGTACAGGAAGAAGATGCATAGTATGGCGGCCATTATATAGGTCGGAGTGCTGGTCCGTCGAAGCGAGCGTGAGGCCGCCATGCTGGGCGAAAATTGAAGGGCACAATGGCTCCGATATGGACGTGGCGCATCAATGTTCTCTTTCTCGTCGCCGTCGCCCCTCTTCCAGAAGTCGGCGTAGATGGGCTTCGCGCTGATTCGACTGCTGGGGTGTCTGGCGGTCCCGCAAGCTTTTGCGTTTGGGCATTCGAGGATGTGCAGAGACGACACTCTCTCACGTATGCAAGCCGCCGTGGGGGTGCGAATGGTCCAGCATGTAGGTGGTCATGGAGAATGCTGCGTGTTGAGAAGATGACGTTCTCTTAGTTACTTGGCCTCTATGTTTGGAATTCCTTCCTCCGTATCCAGCTGTCTAACCAGGGTCCAGGTTCCTTCCAATATTCTAGCTTCGCCAACCTGAGGCACCCACGGAGTGGCTGAGTGGAGGTGGAGGTAGACCACAGACAGGAAGCTTCCTGTGTCTTGCATAACAAAACTAGCTGCGAGGAAAAGAGCTGAGCCGCTGCTGAGGTGCATCGATGATTTGCAGGAGGATTCAGGAGGATGCCAAACATATAGGAAGAGCTGGTGCATGCGCATATTGGCAGTTGTTCACCTCCAGGGCTGGTGTTCTCAGAGGATGGCCCTCCACACAGCAAAGATACATAAGCGGATCTGGAAAGCAGCTACAGGCTAGAGGAGAGCATGAAGAGCTCACCAGCGACTCTGCGGCTGCAGCCAGACTTGAACGCAGACATGGCAGCTTTTTCGGCACTGTTGCCGTTGCGAACTTGGCTGCTCAGACGAACATCGAGCATTTGATCTCGCAGATTCAGCCACTGCGCTGCGGACGTCCTGCAGACGCGTCCACATATCCATCACAGCTGACTTTGTTGCTCACTCCATCGTTCGCGAAGCATGCCACAGACGCTGAACTGCCAATTCGGGTCCTGGAACGATTTCATTCCCGTGCAGCGGTGGACAAGCCCATTGATGCTATTACTGCTGTAGTCGACCGACTACCGATACCTAACGGCTCTGAATATGGCTGCGAAGGCATAGCATACGCGCTCTTTACGGAGGCTAAGCCACTGGACACGGAGTCGCAAGTAGCTCTCCGCAAAGAGAAGACCAAGCCCGGCTCTCTGTGCTTCCATATCCCTACGTACAAAGGGTGTCATCGGCTTTATCACACGCAGATTCAGTTGCCTTTGGCGCAAACGATATTCTCAACAGGCCTGCCATCAACGTTGATTCATAATCATTACGAGCCCAGTAGCGGAGATGGCAGACAAAGGCTAGTCCAAACTAGAGAGCTCGAATCTCATGAGGTCCGCCTCGCGGTGCGGAATCTTGACCAGTCGCTCAGCTATGACGCTCCACTGGTACCGTTGACTCCATTCAGACTAATCCAGAACTCCATGGGCAACATTGTTAGGACTTTGGCGCCTGTAACTGCGACAGAACATCGACCCATTTTCGATCTGAAAGGCGACAAAGTTGCTTATGATCAGAATATTGGGGAATATAAGAGCCAAGAGGGAAGAGCTTTCCCAGCCTCACAGGAGCTTGAAGCGGCAGTTCAGGACTACTTCAAGAAGCTCGACATCGTCCCGGAGCCAGTGCAGGTCTGGGCGCTGGTCATCCCTTCGCCAACAAAAGTGAGCAACAGCGAGGACAACAGCTTGGCACAGCTCACGGCACTCGACAAGGAAGACATTCGCTCACTGTGGTCACCGATTCTCGATCAACGCACACAGCCAGCGAAGGAGTTAAGTAATGTCACTGGGGGCTATCGAGCTGGATTGCGCAAGGCGCAGTTTTTCCCTATGTTGCTCGAAGGAGCACGCTTTATCAAAGTTCTTTCTGGCGGCGGCGGATGGGGCAAAAAGGCCGGTCTTCTCAGCTTCGACCCAGACTCTTCCTATAGTACACGCGAAATACGTAGCCAAACGGGTTGGAATTTCTCCCTTGATGATGAGAAAGCCTTGCAGGAGTCCCAAAAGCAAGCTCTTGGAGAAGTCGTGAAAGAAGGGGAGCTGGTCGCGTTTTACATGGCTAGGAGTGAAAATGCTGATACAGCATTAAAGCAAGGACTTTTGGGTGAAGCTTCTTTGAATGGGCCTACGCTTCAGGAAGCTGTCACGTTCGGCGCCATCCCATCAAGCATCGAGAGTGCTTCAGGCAGGTCTGCTATGTCTGATGATTCCGATGAGTATCGAAATAGCATTCGGCATTTCGTCAATCAATTTGGAGCCCTTTCAGAGGGGGGCATGGCAGTAACATTGACCAAAGATGGCACGGTGCTCACGCAAACGAAAATGGATATGCCGTTCGGGAAGCTCAGACTAGCGCTTGGGTCGAAAGCATCCGAGCAATGACTAGCCGGCAAGAAACGCAGCGGCCACATCAATTTTGAGACCGCGGAACGAATGATACTTGGTCGACATTTCGATGAACATGGATTTCTTGGCCCATGTGATCTTGCTCACACGAATCTTCGCGCACGCAGGTTGGCCGAGGTAGCCACCCGAATTAGCAAGAAGTTGAGCGAGCGAATAGGCTACAACAAATTCTGTGAAATGCTGCTGCAGAGGCAGCAGCGTCTTCGAGCAGTGCCGTGGGCAGACCTAGGCACAATACGGCGACGCCGAGCTTGGGCAGAAATCAACAAGATATTCCTCAAAGAGCTGGCTGATCAATGGACGTCGAACGACATCCAATTTCAAATCCGGAAAGTCCATAGGGTTTTCGGTAGAGGGATGTACGCAAGAGATCAGGTTGATCCTACAGGCTTCAGCGAGGACGCATGGCAGGAATTGTCAGGTTCTAGTGAAGAAGAGCCAGGCATCAAGCATAATAGTACTCCTCGAAGTGCAACCCAAGGTGGTGGTAGAACATTAGCTGACATAGTGGAAGACTTTGTTACGGCAGGTGGAAAGTCCAAAAAGGTTAAGCTACGACAGGCCTCGACGGTAGGGAGGAAGGGCTCCAGGCCATTTTGAGTCCTAGATGCAAGAAATAATAAAGAAAAGAATGGAGAACAACCTACCTAGGTAGTGATCGCATATGGGCTCGTGAGCTCTCGTGCAACCACCTGGACGTGTCGGGAAGAATTCCGGTATGGACGGCAGGAGCTTGGGCTTCCAAGGTTTCTTGATCCCTCCGCCGTCCGGTTGAATCTCGATGGTCAGAGGGATTGCGCAAGGGGGCCCAAGGGTAACCACCTTCCATGTGCTTTGTGCGTTGCGAGTGTATCATTCTCGTCCTGAGTTGATGACTAGTATGTTGCAAGATGGCGAGTCGTTTGATGGCAATGCTGCATTGCTGTTCCTGGGAGCAGAAAGTGAAGACAAGATAAAGTAGATGGTTCCTTTTCGGCAGATGCATGAACATGACTCGGGGACACGGTAGTAAGTTCGATTCGTTCAGCGATATGTGTGTCATCTTGGGCGTCTTCTCCGCGAAGTCGCATGCTGTGGCCTGGTGCAGTGGACATGGAGCTGTGAAGCACTGGCGTCCAGTGGTAGCTTGGCGAGCGTGGACATGATGATGGCGGGCAGCACGTCGAAGCAAACTTGCCCAGGAACGGTACGGCGCGGCGCGTAGCACAGAGTGCGTAGTTGTGTAGATGAATATGTCGGTAGTTGTTCGATCACACTGCTTCGAGAAGGACCTGCGTCTGCTATGGGAGCGGAAGGGCGTGTGGGGGCGGGGGCGGGGATGGCGATAGCAACGTTGCCGCCGGTGCTCTGCCGTGCTCGCTTGGCAGATGAATGGCTAAGTAATGTGGTGGTGTGGTGGTGTGTGGTGTGTGGTGTATGGGGTATGCCCGGCAATCTGAGAGAGCCATACTGAGTCGAGTTGAGCTGGAGAGGCCTTCTCGGGCAGCAACAGATTTCGGGCATTCCACCGCCTTGTTCCCGCCTAACCTGCTCAGCACAATCGAAATCAGAGCGCAACGCTTGGCGATTGCTGCGACTAGCTCCGTAACTGCATACAACACCGCTGCGTGCTCGCCGACTTGGCTTGGCTTGCCTCAGACCATCGGGAATTCCTCCTCCTGCTGCTTGCTACAGTACGCGCCACCCTAGGACCTAAGACCAGCGACACAGCCGTAGCACAAGAGTCGAGCACCTGCGCACACGACCAACTCGCTGCCCAGCCCAGCCAGCCCAGCCCCCTCTCCGCACTCTCCGCCCCTCCCTCGCCCTTCACACAACTCCTGGCGCCCTCGCCCTCGCCCTCGCCCTCGCCCGCCGAGCTCTTGTCCGTCGGCCTCTCCCAGTCGACGTGACCGCCATCGACCGCGCTGCACCCCTCGCCCACTCTGCCGCTTCAAGACTCCCACGCGCCGGCCATTGCATGGCCATTGGCAGCATCATGTGCTTCGGAAGCGGCAACAAGGATGACCCCGATGCCAAGAAGAGCAAGGAGATAGAGAAGCAGTTGCGCGAGGACCAGAAGCGACTGGCCAAGGAGGTCAAACTCCTACTGCTCGGTATGCAGCAAACAGATCTTTGCAACGCACGTCCTATGGCCTCGCGTGGCATTGTGCATTGGGCCACGCTGACTGTGAGCCTACAGGTGCGGGAGAGTCCGGCAAGTCGACTGTCCTCAAGCAGATGCGATTGATACACACCAAAGGTTTCTCCTCGCAAGAACGGAAACAATGGAAGGTCACCATCTTCCAAAATCTGCTGCATGCATTCCAAGTCGTCTTCGGCGCCATGGAAGAGCAGGAGGTCGACTTCGCAGAGGACAGCAATATTGTGCGTCCATCGCCCATTGGCCCCGTTGAAACTACCCTTGCTTACTGACGCTGTGTGGCAGAGATACGCCGAAATCATTGCCGCCGATCCAGACATCGGTCCTGATGATCCTATGCCCATCGACTGTCTCAACGCATTCAAAAGCTTGTGGCGCGATGCGGGTGTGCAGCTTGCCATCAAGAAGGGCAACGAATACGCTTTGCACGACAACCTGACTTAGTCAGTGACAACAATCATTATCGATCCACACGCAGAATCGCTGACCATGCAACAGCTACTTTGCTGATGTCGAACGCCTTTTTGCCAAAGACTTTTTGCCAACTGACCAGGACATCCTGCGCGCTCGCTTACGAACAACCGGCATCAGCGAGACCATCTTCGAGACTGGCAGCCTCACCTACCGCATGTTCGACGTTGGAGGACAGAGATCAGAACGAAAGAAGTGGATCCACGTCTTCGACAATGTGCAGGTAGTTCTTTTCCTGGTTGCGATCAGTGGTTACGATCATGTTCTCGTGGAGGATCGAAACGGCGTAAGTGGACTTGGCTATGCGCATCTGGATGTTCGTCAAGAATCGCTGACATTATTCAGAACCAAATGCACGAAGCTTTGATGCTATTCGAGAGCATTGCGAACAGCAAGTATTTCGAAAAGTCCGCTCTGATCCTCTTCCTCAACAAGATCGATCTTTTCCGAGAAAAAGTGCAGTCGGGCCAGGCACCCATTTCAGAGCACTTCCCGGACTATACGGGTGGTGATAGGGATGTTGAGGCCGGGCAGCAATTTTTTGCGACCAAATTCCGCAACCTCGTGAGAGACCCACAGAAGGAAGCCTATGTCCACTTTACCAACGCGACCGATACAAATCTCCTGGACAAGACCATGAAGAGCGTTCAAGATATGATTGTGCAGCGCAACCTGCACAACTTGATGCTGTGAGCGACGACCCCACCACCCACTGCGAAGTTACAGCTTCTTCTCGCCATTGGCAATGGCGGACCCTCATATCGCTCGAGCCCTATGTTTTTGTCGTGTCTCCTGTTAGCGGCCATCTTTTTATGAGCGACGTTAGCGCAGCAACGTTTTCTGATCATGTCGCAGTATGACATAGACTCCTCAGGCGAAGACCTGCGACTGAGCAGTGTAAAGTCTCCGAAGGCGACAGAACTGCCTGGAAAACGAGAGACACCATCATGAACGAGCATTTCTCCTAGCCATTAATTGCTTCGAGCATATTCTGGAGTATCACGCTGCGCGAACGAGCATTTCTCCTAGCCATTAATTGCTTCGAGCATATTCTGGAGTATCACGCTGCGCTTCTCCGAGCAGAGCGATACGTATCCTTTGGAACGTTGGAAGGGAATACAGGCCAAGCCGCGCGCTGGCTGTGAAACTCGCTCAATATCGGCCTTTCAAGGTCAAATATTGCGTACGCGCAATCTTGGGCGAGGAGTGAGGAATTGCGAGTGAAGGAGGACGACCTGGGAGCTATTTTGTCAGCACATAGAGCTCTACGAATTGCCTCGCGGTTGGCTAGGACGGATCAGTAACAATGAGTCCAATGTCTGTGCCAGAAAGATTCTCGCGCTCAGCGCTGGAAGCACGGACTTAAATCGATAGAAAAAGCTCACTTCATTGCGGCATTCAAACCTCACTTCGAATGAATTTGCGATACGACTTCCTTAAAATTGTTTCATATCTCGCTCCACAGCACTCACTGACAACAACAGACCACCCCATAGAGCAGGCGACTCGACTTGATCAAAACTAGACACGAAAAAGCATGGATCAGCCCTTCGATTGTAACAGCTGGACGCCAAGCAATTCTTGGGAATGGGAGCCATGGCTAACACCGTATACGACAATTGAGATCAGGGCACTGATCAAACAACTCAACAGAGATACCAACATCATCAAGGAGCACCCATACGAGCCCAAGCATTGGATCAAGCGCGCGAAAACATTAACGCGACTGCGCTACCCCGAACTCGCGGTCGGTGATGCTCATAAGGCATCCCTCTTGATCCAGAACTTGCTCGAGGGTCTCGATACACGGTCGAACTCACGAGTCGGCTGCGATCTTGGTTTCTGGATGAGCGACCCTGACATCGACGAAGACTTAATGGAAGAGGAGCATGAGAAACAGCAGAACTCATTCGAGGCGACCAAGAGAGATGCAGAAGATATCATATCGAGCAGTCTTTGCTTCGCGCCCAGCTACTTGCGAGGCCAGTTCGTGCCGGCGCCATACCCTTGGCTTGAAGAAAAGCACAGAATGAGATCGGATGATGTAATACAAAACACCAATCTCGACCTGGCCGATCCGGAAAATGGTGCCTCTGGCGGCATAACGTGCTGGCTCAAACGGTACGCTTTTGGGCCCGGCGTCGGTGCGCGTGAAGGCGCGGATCTTCTTGGCGTCTTTGCGGCGCGTGACATTGATGCTGGAAGTGTCATCGTCGTTGATCGAAGTCGAATCTGGGTATGCAAGCGCCTCTGCTGCCATGTCATGATACAGAAGCATGCTGACAAGATGTGCGAGGGCTGCAACGGACCAGGGCGAGAAGGCTTGATGGAAGAGAACGGATGTCCCCATCCATTACATCCCAATATCGAGTCGGATGAAGCCAAGCATGACATTCGATGGATCCGCGACAGGCTCGGAAAAGATGCTGCGAATACTATCACTAGGTGTCGGACGTTATTAAGCTGTATTCAAGATGGGATCAAACATCCTCTGGACCATCCGCTCATTGCCCGCTTGACACCAACCTACCACACCAATAAGAACATCGACTATGACGAGCGGGAAAATTTCGAGCTTGAAGAACTTGCAGTGGTTTTTGAGGCACTGCAGCAGTTTGGAGTCGATATTTTCAGCGACCTCAACTTCGATACGTGGGTAATCTTCGTTCTTCAGGCCAGGCTCGATAACAATCAGTGGTCAGATCCCAATACGACGTGCCTCAGCTCGCTTTTCGCCCTCTTCAACCACAGCTGTGAGCCGAATGTGAGCTGGACCACGCAAGGCGGCCACCAAACTCTTGAGATGACTACGAAACGTCGGATACGAGAGGGCGAGCAGCTTTTTGTCGAATATGATTCGTTCATGAATGACAAGCCACTGGAGGAGCGGCGGAGAAGGCTATACAGATGGCTGGACGGCCCTTGCCAATGCAGTCGATGCGCGAGAGAGCATTCTGAATTGAGCAGGACTGCGTCACCGCTGACGAGTTCATTTGGATCAAGTGAATGGGATACTGATGAGAAGCCAGTCCTACCGGAAGATCTTGGAGTGGAGTTCGAGCGGTGGGATAGTCTCAGTGAGTGCTGACGATATCTTGGATATGTATAGCGGCATTTCTGTATCACGCAATCAATTACTGCATGAGCACTCGGAATTGCGCGTGCGGGCTACAGATATCGTCCAGAAAGAGGTAGATGTTCCCGGGTTCCCGGCCCTATCTGTGAAAATGCCCTTTGGAGCGTTCTTCATCCGGCTGAGCATCCTGCTTCCACTATCCCCAGTATTTTCACTCATTCATCATGCTGGGCTCGCTGGCACGCATTCACAAGTGCGTGAGCGTGAAGTTGGCTGAGCGTCAAAGTTGGTGATATTGCCGTGCCTGATGTTCACGACCCTGATATGGTGGAATTCCATGAGAGCAACCTTCCTCCGTGCCTTGGACGTTGCTCTGGATGCGTTTTGGGTCATGCTGTGAAACTCGATGCAGTCTGCTGGCCGACGATCCGATTTCCTAAATTGGTACTCCACGAGAGGACATTCCGCCACGCCGCCTTCACTTGAACGTCCTGACCAGCGCCCTCAGATCCCCACCCTCAACCCAATCCTCGCCTTCTCCGCCGATCGTGTGGCCCCAGCCATCTCCCACTTCACCCACAATCCTTGCCGGCCTACCAGCAACAATACACCCAGGTGCGACGACCATGTGAGCAGGAACCACCGTGCCCGGTAGAACTTTACAATTCTCCTTGAGGATACTGAATTGCCCCAATACACAATTCTCGCCAACATGTGCATGACTGCCGATTTGAATTGCAGAAATATGCGTTCCCGTTCCAATAAAGACGTTGTCGCCGATTCGCATGGGATAGAATGTCATTTCACCATGATGGAGTCGCATTGGTGGGTGTAGTACGCAGTTTGTTGCAATTACCGATGCCTTTCCGATACTGATGGCGGTCATTGAGGCAGGCGTCTTCTCGCCCTCTGTTGGAGGTGGTGGAAATCTGTGTAGGTCGCCACGCAGGTGTACACCTGCCATGATGACTGACTTGCCGCCGAGCATTATGTTTTGCTTCCCTTCGATATGAGCTCGGCGGGAAATCTTGTTGCCGGTGTCCTGTATAGTGTTGGTTATAGGTCTTGAAGGGGAGAATGAATGCAATACTGACGGTCTCTATGTATTCGCTTTTGACAGAGCGCCTCGACGTGGGCGCCGCACGGGATGCCATCTTGAGTAGATCAGTCCTTGTGGCCACGCTTGGCCTGGATGTTTGTTGATGATTTGACTGTGGAAGCCGACCACGACTTGTGCTTATAAGTCTGCCGTGCCACTATTTTGGAGACAGTGAACTCCAATGCTAAAAACACTTCCTTTGCACCGCTCCTGCTCAACGTTCCACACAACACATGGCTCCTCTCTACAAAGGCTACAGTATATATATGTATCAGTCAGGGAGTGGGAATGGGGTGGAGGAAGTCGGAAGTGGAATTGAACTCGTGCAAACCTGTTCTGCCACGCGACAGCCATGAGACTGCATGAGAACACGAAAAGAGACTCGGAGGAATCATGGCGAGTAGGAATGGATCTAGAAAAGGGCGATCGATATGGCGCCATGAACGAACATTCCGATGTCACTAATACCCATGAGGATGTTTCGTCGGGGCCTTCGCTCAAGGAAGACTGGCAGGGACTTATTGACGACGATGCCTTGCTATCGTCTCTTACAATACCTGGCACCCACGACAGCGCCGCTTTCACGCACCCTTGGCCATTTGTGGCGACGCAGTCAATGAACATTTCTCAGCAGCTTCACGCTGGCATACGATACTTCGACCTTCGCTGCGGGATCAGGAACGATGTTGCCGAAATGGTTCACGGTCCGTCTTTACTCGGTCTTCAACTCCATGATGTTCTCAATAGCATGTTCGAATTTTTGGATAGCCACCCCACTGAAGGCCTAATTGTGCAGATCAAAGAGGACAGGGAACCGGAAAAGTCCACGAAACATTTTTCGCAAGTGATTTGGCAGAACATTTCATCCAACCCGGACAGGTGGCGGACTGCAAATACTACACCCACGATGGGCGAACTGAGAGGGAAAATCCAGCTGTTCAGGCGTTATCAAGGCCCGAGACTGTTCTCGTTTGGAATTGATGTCACTCAATGGCGGGACAATCCTGACTTACCATTCACCATTTTCACGACACATGATGTTCAGATCACCATACAAGATCATTACAGCTTCTCAGATCCTCAGCCTTTGCCTTCGTTGATCATCAGCAAGGGAGGTGATGTGCAGCGTCTTCTTGACCGAGCGCCGCAAGACGCGGACGATAGTCATTGGTACATGAATTTTACCAGCGCCTTCGAATTCAACCTTTGGTACCAAATTCCTCCTCGAACCATTGCGATTGGCGGCTACTATGGCTTCCGTTGGGAAGAGGGAATGAATGTTCGCTTGCGGAATTACCTACGCATCCATTCTGGGAAGCACCGCTTTGGCATCGTAGCCATGGATTTTCCGGGAGCTGGAACGGACGACTTGATCACCACCTTGATTCAGTCGAACTTCAAATATAAAGTCAAATACTGGCCTTTGTTACTGTGTGTTGCCTTGGTCTGCATCTGGATCACCATGTTTGCCTTTCGAGAGACTTGGGGAGACGGTGTTGAAATGAGAGTCGTGGACTATCTATTTGGTCCTGTATGATATGGAATCAGACTTTTGGTATCAAGTTTGCCACTGCTCAAGCATAGGGTCGAGCGCCAGGATACGTGGGTCATCATCGTGTTGAAGCCATCCTTGACGCACGGCTGCAGCTGGGCGACGAGCTCAAGGCTGACCGGGCCAAACTTCGTCTGCAATCTCTCTCACAAGACGCAGCTTCTTGGCCATGTCGGCATATCCCAAAAGATTGCCATCTTCGTGCGAAGCGAAGCCACACTGAGGACTCACTCCGAGACGCTGCAAAGCTTCCTCTTTACTTTCACCACTCCCCGAAGCCACGAATTCAGCAGCCTTGTAAATCCGCTGCTTCATCTCCTCCTTATCCTCCAGCTCTGGGAATTTGCTGGTTATCACTCCAAGAATGACATTTTTATTCTTTGGAAGCTCCTTCAACGGCTCGAACCCACCCGCGCGTGCGGTGTCGTACTCGAGATAATATGTCGACGCGTCCAGCTCGTTGAACAGCTTGGATGCTATCCTGTCATAGCCGCCCTCACTAAAGTGCCTTGAGCCTACAAAGTTTCCGCGACAAAGATGGATGCCTAGGTGCATATCTGCGGGACGTTTGAAACAATCATTGTAAAATGCAATGTAAGCGTCGAAGAGGCTGTCGATTGATCGTATATTTGCGGGATCTTTCTTCCAGCCCTCAATCATCTTCTCCGAGCAGAAATCTGACCGGCATCAGTAACGGGCTACATGGGCCAGATCCACAAAGACTTACAGGCCAGATTGGGCTAGAGGACGCCGAAACAACTCGTCAGCAAGCATTTCTCGGACTATAATGCTTAAAGTGTTGGCAACACGTACATCATCCACCTGCACGTTCCGCACGCCTGCATCATAGAGAAGACTCAACTCGGTTCTGTATGCCGTTGCAATGTCTGCGAAGTATTCCTGGAATTCGTCAATTCTGGTGCACGAAAGAGCGGATCTGAGCATGATCGCACCTCGTCGGAGGAGTATACTTCCTTGGGATATGCTTTTCCTTGCCCTGCAAGTAGCGAAAACTCGGCGTTAGCTGCTGCTGTGAAGCATTTGGAGTCACTATGTCGCTTACTGTAGCGAAGATGGTACCAATTCGGCGCGGCCAAAGCTGTGCACATCGAAGAGTACGAGATCAGCAACTGTCCGAACTTGGTGTGTGCCTGGAATAATCGGACTTACTCATTTTGATCTGGCCCCATTGCTCTTTCGGCGTGATCGACTTGAGATACTCGTATTGTGGAATGTACGAGCTGATGCCAGTATGGCTGATCTTTCCTGTGCAGATGACCTGAAGATACAACATTAGGCCATGATGTCTCCGGTCTCCTATCATGATTCAACACCATACCGACTCGCCTGGGACTTTCTCCTCCTCAAGGAACGCGGCGATATCTGGAACATAATCGCGAAAGATAGATGCCTCGGGACCGTAGATCTCTTCCATCCCATTCAGAGACGGGAAGAAGGTTCCCTATCGACACCAATGTCAGCGAACACCTTGAGTGCTCCATGAGATTCAGTACCCAGAACATATGGCGTCGATATTCTCCGTCGGTGATCGCCCGAAAGCCTGCGTCGGCCTGCAATTTTACAGCTTCGTTGATGCAGTCATCTGTCAAAGCTTGAAGCCCTTCTTCGGTGTCCTTCTTCTGCTGAATGGCATGACGCTTGGCGAGAAGTCTCTCAGGACGTAATAGAGAGCCCAGATGCTCAGCTCTAAATGGAGGGTTTCGTGGTGCGGACATATCGATTGTTAGATCACGTGGAAAAATAGCAAGCAAAGGTTCATCAAGGTGACCGCGAGCGGTACTTTATAAATTCTTGTCGACTTCAATTCTGAGACCTATATCATCTTCCTGGCGGACGCTCTCCTATATATGAGATAGAGTATTTGCCCCACCTGCCTCACTCATGGATGTTGGAGTGCCCCGCCTCCAGAATGAGGGAAATCACGCTTTCGGCAGATGCGATTGATGCAGCTTCACAGGCTACAGCGTCAGAAAGGAATGAATCAATGCTTGGCCCAAACGGCTTGGTAATAAGCGAGACCTTTAAAAGATTCAATCCACATACTCATCTTCCTCCACCTCAAGCCATGCCATATTGGACACGAAAACAGTAGCCAGGATTTGCGAACTTGTGCAGGACCGGAGCGTTTCCTTGGTTCTATGCATGGGGTTGACAAGCACTACGAGCGAGAAATGTTATACAGCTTTCTCTGTGTCTGTCTTTGTCTATAGTCGAGCTTTATCGTCTCTGAGCTGCAACCCTGTAAGTTTCTCTAATTCCGCGACAGCAAGATCTGCTCTTCCAAGTGTAACCTTGATCGTGTTCATGCCCAACTTCTTCGCGGTTTTCAAGTTTCCTCCAATGTCGTCAATGAATGTGATATCTTGCGGTCGAACGCCTTTGCCAAGATTGTTGAGCTTCACATACTCGTGAAGGCGGACAACAGCATATCGATAGATGTCTTCATGTGGCTTCCGCATGCCTACATGTGCACTGCTGACGAAGATGTCGAACACGCTCTTTAACTCCTTGTTCTGTCTGCCCTCAGGAGTAGAATCATCGTTGAAAGGATGACCGGGCGGGAAGATCGAGGTATTGCTCAGAGCACCGAGGATCAGCTTGCCTTTGCTCTGGTCTGCGGCTTTCCGGAGTCGTTGAAGAGCTGGCCACATATGTGGGTCTGGTTCCCGAGCGACTCGCATCATCTCCCAATACAGCGATTCAACATCGATATCTGGTATCGGCGGGACATGGTACGCAGTCTCTTCCGCGGCTTGACCAAGGCTTTCCTTCCGCGACCTGGCTAATGATCTGGCGTAGTATTCACGCCACCTTCTCTCGTTGCTCAGATCTGCTTTGAACTCGCGGAAGAAGGCGTCGTCGAGGAGGATATCGCCGCGTTCGAGCTTTGCCCATGCGCCATCCGGGCTCGAGGCGGATATGGCATAATTTATGTAGCCGAGGGGTATGCCTTTGCTCTTTTCGTAGTCAAGGATCGCTTGGAAGGGAGATACGACCTAAGAACTATCAGCTATGCCATGAGAAGACTGTGAAGGCTGGCTTCTCTTACGCACGCAGACACCTCCAATGTCGAACAGCAGCACTCGAGGGTAGCTGTCCTTGGATGACATATTGAATTTGCGGTTCAAAAGAGTGTAGGTCTTTTTATTGTGACTTCAGTTGTCGGTCATAACCTAGCTTTGGCCAGCACCTATCTCTCCTATGTCTAGACACCAGGCTCCCAAAGTCATCAGCGTATAGCACGACATGGTAGTTGTCGTGTCTTTGAGGAAGACTGTAGCCGCGGGAACGAAAGAGCCGAGGTAACAAGCTTTGCTAGTCTCTTGCGAGAGTCTGTCGCGAGTCAGTTGAAGGCCTGCACCAGCAATCGTGACTGTCATTAGCGCCTTGGCAGCGCGAGCTCTTCTTAAGCTATCAATTTGTCTCCAGAGACTCTTTCTTCTTCATCCAAGTGCACGGTAAGCAAGCCCACCCATACACTTCACGCACCTCACAAAACTCACATGAAAAATAGGGCATTACGCATATCAGTGAGGATTCGTCCGAGATTGCGTTTTTGCTAGTTGAAAACTATCAACTGACCGCTCTCGTTGGTCTTCGGATCGGCGAGGAATTTTTGACAATCCAACGAACGCCTTTCTTTTTCTTTTCATCATCACGTTGCGCCATTCGCGGGCGTATGGAGAAGAGCGCGGGAGAGCACAGCCGAGATAGAAAGCCGGAGGGCACGGGAACCCCATAACGCAGTTCTGTCGCGCAATGTCACCACCGTGACAGGGACATCACCTTGGAAGGTGCGAAGGAGGTGCGCGAAACAAATGAGGTGTTCGCCGCTCGGCTGCAAGGCAATCGGTCATTGCCTAGAATCTTCACACCTTGAATCAACGGCCGACAAGGAGACTATCATTCGAGATACGAGGAACTAACTCAGACACCACAGCTGTGGTTCCAAGCAGCGCAATTCAACATACATACGCTGACTTGAGGGGGAGAGGCGCTGCGGTACTTGAGTCAGGGGAAGTGTTGGACAAAGGACTCTACATACCTTACCGCAAGCACACGTTCCTAGCTAGTGTGAAAGGGCTCTCTTATACGCAGGTATATGAAGCCACTATAACCTAGAGTTAGTTCCGTCCAGCGTTGACCAGCCCGAGTCTGGTTGTATCGCCATTCGCCCGTCTTCCCGAAAGCTTGAAACGTCGTATTCAAACCTTCTCAGATCCATTCGACGCCCTTAAGTAGTTGGACTCGTAATATCGAGCTATACCCCAAAGCGAACTCGAGAGAGCTTTCGATCAATGGGAAGATATAGCGATGCTACAAGCGGCAGATTGTGGAAGCCGCAGCGGTGGACAGGATGACTGCTTTTTGGCCAGGCTGGGCAAACAGATTGCTGCAGAGAGAAGCCTCAGGGCTCTGCAATGCTTTCGTGTCTTGACTCTTAATCTCGTACCCTCGATACTCAGTGAGAGTGCCTATGCATACAGCGAAGTATGAGAATGGGATATGTCGCCATTGCAAAACTGAGTGTCTGTATACCAGCAACTGTGGGGCCCGTACGGGGCACCTAGAGTTGCTAGCAACTCTAACCATACCAAGCCCCGCTAAACCTAATACAAATCGTAATCTTAGCATTGCTACCATCTCTGCTGTTCCCAAATTCCTTCTATATTTCCTATTCTATATCCCCTATATTGCATAACGTCTACTAATATAGACCTATCTACGCCTAGTAGTATTAGTAACCTTAAACAGCTTCGCTAGCGAGTTTTTAACCTTATAGAAGACATTAATACCGATACGGAAGGCTAGAAATTAATACAGAGCCTATATAGCAATTAATACACTAGGAGGTCTACTAAGAAGCTAGGCAAGCCTAGTACGGATAGTATATACTATAAGAAGGTATACTACTATTATATAGAAAGGCAGCGCCGTAATAAGCTAAATCGAGAAGTAGTAGGTATTAAGGATAGAAGAGCCTTTAAACCGCTAGAAGAGGAGTACTCTATTAGCTTTGTTATAATAGTAGAATACCGCTAGAACGAGGCTACTAGAAAGGTTAGTATTCGTCGTTATATAATCGCTAATATATACACCTATAATCTCGACCTTCTTAATAGCCGCAAGGTCTATTAACTAGTCAAAGATAAGGTTAAGAAGCAAATAGACTACTTGCTATAGGCGAGGCGGACGTACGACGCTATTAATAGCTAATATAGACCTAATCTCGGTGTCCCTTATCTCGATATCGGTTTACTATATAATGCCGCTAAGAAGTCGCCCTATTACAACCGAGACAAGCGGTTTACGATGCCGGCCGAACGAGACGATCCTAAGCTTTAATTATAGGGTGTTATAGCGGTAGCAAAAGAGCATAGATTGTATTGTTAATTATTTAGTGTCTTAATAAAGGATAGTATTAGGAGAGGCTTCGTATAGGCTATAGAAGAAGGCATTAAGCTACTAAAGAAGTATAGCAAATTAATACTTGCTAGGTATACGGTTATAGTACGAAGGTATCGTAACGGTTATACAGTACAAAAGTTAATGTATTCTCTAAGGTGCCGCGAGGCAAGCTATCTATATAATAGTCCTACTATTAGTAGCAATAGCGACCGTAGCGGTCGATAGTGACCGCTGCCTACTATCGTATATGCAATAGTGTTATATCGTAATAGCCTCCCTCTCTATAAAAAAGGTCGGTACTATCTATAGTGTCCTAAAACAAAGGTCCTTAGCAGGCCGCACCGTAGGAAGGTTTAAGGCAAAAGAGCGTAATAGCGTCGCATAAAGGCTAAGCCTAAACAGTATACTAGAACGGTAATACTAGGTACAGAATCGTGTCTCTCTAGTAATAACTGCGTCGGTCTTATACTTACTTATTGCGACGGTTACGAAAAGCGTCGCGTAAGCTAGTTAGTATAGTCTAAACCGCCTTTAGCTACGGCTAAGGCGCGACGGTCTTTATAGTCTTGTTATCGGATAGCGAGGTATTAACTGCGTCCGCTATAGCAGTAGCGCGGTCTAACTAATCGACAGGGATATTAGGGAAGTCGGCACCTAGCAATAGTAGCGTGTCGGCGTCGCGTATAGTACTATATAGCTTAAAGTAGTCGGTTATCTATGCGTTAAGCTTTGCGATCTTATCCTTAGTAGTATTGCCTTATACGCCGCCGAGTAGCTTAAAAGCGTCCTCGTTAATTAGGTATAGTATAGGGATTGCCTATTGCGGCGCGACGCGTAAGAAATCGTAGTAAAGATAGGTTAGCGATAGCGTAAGCGACTCCTTTAAGACCGTAGCGGAAAGACGATACTACTAGGCTATCTAGCGCTTAGTTGCTTCGCGGATCTGCGCCTTAGCTAGTATCTATTATAGCTAGTACACCTCGATTGCTACTAACTCAGACTAGCGCATATAGTAGAGAGCTTATAAATTAAGCGTACGTACACTAATTGCTATCGCATTGTATTAGTATTGTCCGTAGGCGCCTATAGTGTTTTCCTATAAAGCGGGTAAAGGTAGCAAGCATATCGGAAGCGATAGGAGCTTGTGCTATAGCTACGTAACCGTGTTATTAGGCAGTAGTAGCTAAGCCGCAACTAGAGCCTTCGTAGGCGTAGAGAATAGGTTAGACGGTAGCGGCATCTTCGACGGTAGGCGAGGCGCTAAGAACGGGCTAGCAGTTAGCTTCTAGCGAGTGTTTAACTTAGTCGATAGTAACGCGCGCGAGGAATTTAGCTAGATCGCCTTAGTTAGCGGGGCAACCGGCTTAGCCCGAGTCGCGAGCTCTAGAGGGATGATTTTGCCGAAAAGGTACGCGTTAGTAAGGTCGGTCTCGTCTAGCGAGTAGTCGGGTAACGGCACTAGGAATGCACCTATAGGATCCTAAGTATAGTCGATGTTATACTACTAGTAATTCTTATTCGTTACTATCTTATCGTACTTAAAAATAGTATTGCCCTATATAACACGCTCCTAGACGCCTAAAGGATCGAAGACTAGATCGGTAGAGGCCGTCTTCGGCAAATTATAGAACTATAGCGTTAGCGCGGGCTCTAATCTATTAGAGATAGCGCTGTCCTTAAGCGTCTAGATATAGGCGATAAAGGTAGATAAGGCGTATACCGGATCGATCTAAGTTAGCTAGTAGACTAGGCTAAAGTCTACCGGGTATTAACGGTTAAGAAGTAGTAGAGGTATGCCTTTACCCTTATTAGCGGTATAGGTACCGTTCTAGTAGCGACCGCTACTAGTAAGCTAAGCGTACTGTTCCGTATACGACGCATTAGTAGCCTTAGTGTCCGTAAGCGCCTTATTAGTATAAAGGGCGGATATGTAGCCCTCGCCGCGAAGCGTATATACGTTACAGACTATAATATACCGCTAGGTGTAAGCGACGACGTCCTAGGTAATAGCTAGGCGACCTAGGTTGCGACGGTATAGGTAGGGTAGACTACTAGAATTAAGGGACGACTCGTACTACTTATAGAGCTATATAGCCGACTAGGTACTAAGTTCTATACCGATTAGCAGTAGCTAAACTATGTAGTCCTTAAGCTAGGAGTCTAGTAGAGGCAGGCGCACTATCGAGAGTCGTCCGGTAGCTACTATCTATAAGAATTAGACTTCGCCGTAGGTAGTTAGGTCGATCTTATAATACTTCGTCGCTCCGATATATTCGCTAATAGGTCGCTTGCCCGTCTTTAGGTATTCCTTACTATAGTTACGGTAGGATACGTCCTTACCGTTCTCGCTACGCTTATATAGGACCGAGTAACTGCCTACTATAATGCTATCGCGATGTTCTTTTAGGACGAAGCGGTAGAACTACTCTTATACGAGGTTAACTGTCTATAGGAAGTGCAAGATAGCGCGTACTATAAGACCGACGGCTCTATTATAGATTAGAGACGGTACTAGCTAGAATCGTAGGTCGCCGGTATAGGTGCTTAAGCTAAGGAAGTTCTCGCGTAAGCGGGTAATGTTTACTAGGAGTCGGTACTACAACTTCGCGTAGTAGAAAGTAATAGTTAGTAGAAAATTCGTATCGAGGTTAGCTAGGTTAGGAAGCTCCTTTAATTCGCCCGCTATTATAAGCGCTACGTA